ACGTTTTGGATGTGTGTGGAGTATCATGGACTAAACAAGATCATAATCAAGAACCAATATCTATTGCCACTTATTTCATAACATCTTAACCAACTTGATCAAGCAAAAATCCACACCAAGATTTATCTTTGTGGAGTTTACAACCTAGTACTTATTCAAGGAAGGTGACAAATTGAAGAAGATATGGATACGGTGAATATAACATCATATCTTTTGATTTTACCAATGCACCTGCCGTCATCCAATTCTTGATGAATAACATATTTCAAGAATTTTTAGACAATTTGGCTATATGTTTTCTAGACTACATATTGATTTTACCCAAAAATAAAGAAGGTTTATCAACCATTTAAGCTAGTATTGAAGAAGATGCGCACTACTGGATTATGCGTCAAGCTGAAGAAATGGATTTTCTATCAATGTCAAGTCAAATCCTTAGAGTACTTCATTTCTAGAATGCATCTATTCCTAATGTTGGTTAGATGATACATCCATATTATCAAAATCTCAAAGAATATTTGACATGAAAAAATTGTTTATTTGTTTCATCCAAAAATTGCTTGATTACTTATTTATTAGTATGCAACATGCTGCTCATTGTAATATAGAGTTTTATTATTACTCATGTTTAATATATATGATTTATTCACTCAAGTGAAATCACATCTAGTCTTGATTGGTGATGATCAAAATAGTATTGTAAACATTGTGATCAGAGATAACACTTGTAAACCATATATACCTATGGATGTTCAAATTGTGGAGTTACATCAAAAGTTCAAAAGGAAGTATATAAAAAATTATACTTCTTCAATTCTTTAGGGTTAAAATTAAAGTAAGATATGAATATAAATTCACATATCATGTGAGAGTTTGATATATAGTACAACATGTTTAAATTAATATTGTCTAACTTAATAACTTATGATAACTAATATATGCAGTCCAGTCTCAAGTCGGGTCTGTGTACTTATTAATAAACCTCCAAAACTTAATAATTAATAATCCACAAGCAGTCTCAAAACTTTTTCATATTAAGAACCACTGTAGAGAAATAAATATTGTAGAGAAAGGGCGTGGGTTGCGAGGGGCGGAGACCACAGTTGAGATGGATAAATACGAAAGAAATGTGTCATGTAACTCCTGACCTGACTGTTTCGACTCAAATTCTCTCTCGCGGCAGCCTTGCCAAGGACGATAGAACATTGAAGCGCATTTGTTCACGTACAAGCTCTCTCTCGTCTTCCCTTCCTCTCCTTCAAGAAACAAGAACTTCAAAAACGTTTGTGTTTTCGACACGCATTCAAATCTGACAGAGCACTTCACCTCCTCCTCTCTTCCTTCTCCTCGTTACACTTCGTTGGCCAATCAATCCCCCTGCGCACCAACTCAACGGAAGGTAGCTTATTTTGCAGGATTGAAGCTTTGACAGACCCACGAAGCTTGATCATTTCTCAAAGGGGACAAAGGAATAGCGACATGCCACAGATCAATTGTAGTCAGACTCTGAGCATCTCTCTTGGTTTTTCCAGTTGCTTTGATGGTTGGGACGTTGAATGTGTCTTACAATCATCGGGCTTTTATGCTCAATGAGCAGCGTCGATTGCTCATCTCGGCCAGAATTCATTGTCCTCACGCTACTCAAAAAGTCTACTACGTTCACCCTAAATCTACTCTTCCTTATGAACGTCCACGAACCGTATGTCCTCATTGACACTCATGCTAAAATAATCGTCAAATTGTATCTGATGAACAATGTATTCTTTAGAATTACAACCTGTGATACGTAGTAATTTTTCTTACATCAAAGCAAAACAAATGGAAACATTGTAAGCAATTCGTCTTTCAAAAGCTAAATCACTGTAGCACACATAGTTTTGGCATAAATCTTTTGACATTTGGGCAGCTAAACCTTGGAAAAATATTCCAAGATTGACTTCTGAATGAGCTTGCTAGATCTCATAATGCTGATCTTGTCCTTGACTGTCTCGATGGTAGCAATCATCTCATGGTCAACGATGTCTTGCTGCATCGAGAACTGCTGCAACAAACTTGCACATTGCAGTGCTTCAGTTGTCTTCACAAGAGTATATTCTTGACTTTCCTTGGCCTCCAGCTCATCTTCTAGCACAGGATTGGTCGAAAGATCTTGCACAATTTTTTCCTGAGTCAGAACATAAGCAACTTCGCGTTGAACAAGATAATCGATGAGATTGCGAATATCCATTGGATTTCGATACCGAAGCTCTTGAACCAGCTTTTTGAGGCCCTTGATCACATCAGGATCAATAAGCAACTGTTTCAGGACCAGTGTCACATCAGCATCGATGGTGCAAAGTTGCCAATGGCGAAAGCAATTGCGGATTGTTTGTGTCTTCACATCCATGCTCCAGACTGCAACAGCAATGCGCATAGCCTCGATGACGTCGATCTTCACTGGATCAGCTATCTTGTCCTGAATGAGTTGAATGTAAAAATGATTGAAACGGCGCCGATAGTAAGCCTTGAGGTTTCGGATAATTCCTGCATCGCAAGACTGAATCTTTGAGGTCATGTTTGGTGGCAAATAGAATACGGTTTTGTTGCGGAGTGTAATAACAGATGTGAGCTGCATTGACAGGATATGTGCGCTGCAATTGTTCATAATCAAAAGAACATTACGCTCTGCCATCCGCGCATCAAACTCTTGCAGCCACTCGAGAAAGATGACTTGTGTCATCTAGGCCTTCAAGTTGCTTCGGTACTTGCATCCAAAACTGTCTCGGTTGATTTTTTTAAACAGCGAGGGTTTTTGTATTTGCTAATGACCAAAAATGGAAGCTTGTCCGAGCCGTCAGCATTGCAACACACATCCAGCAAGAGACACTCCTTGTTTTGTTTGTGTCCTTCAAGCTGCTTTGTGGCCAAGGAATTGTCCACATGTTGAGATGTCATATGTTAGTGAAAGTAATCAATGGTTTGGCAGTGAGCATACAGTATCATGCTGCTTTAATCTGCATTCTATAAAAAAATCCAGTTGCATCCATGTTGTAGATGTTACGTCGCTCATACTGATCCAGAGTTAAACGAATCTGTAGCAAGCTCTCTTCAATTAGAGCCATGTTGACGGATCCAGAGTCCCCATAGCGGCGGTAGGACTTGATGTTGTGACGATTCTTGAATGCCTTTAGCCACTCAGAGCTCCTTAGCTAGGGTAGAGCTCGGCAAGGAAGTACGTAGATTTTTCTTTGGTGAGATCACCTGACATATTGACTTGGTCTTGATATGTGAGAAACCACCGGTACAGAGTTGTCTCCATCAGTGGGTATTTCACAGTCCGCTGTCGTTTTGCCGCTTGATTCACATCCTCCTTGGCAAGGATTTCAACTGAACGTTTGAGAGTCAGAGAAATTGTTCCCTGACTGATAGAAACTTTATGCAATACTTGAAACCACTTGATCAAGTCTGCTTGTGTCAGCAATGGATGCTTTTGCTTGTGCTCACAAAGAGTTATCCGAACCTCGTTGATCATGTTCGTATTGGCGGATCTCTTTACAACCATTGAGTTGTGCATCTGTTGTGCATCTTGATTTTTTCCCTCTGGAGTGCAGCTTACGGGTTTGACGACAACGCTATAACACTATTGAGCTTGATACAATTCAATCTTGAAACATGTCGTGTTGTTATATCTAAACATTAGCTTTCCATACAGAACCATAGTGACTATAGTCAATGTGCAAGTAACTCTTCCACCACAAATGATGCGAACAAAGAAATTCTCTTTATTAATAAACTGTCTAAATTAATACAGAACCGTAGGTCCCGACATTATTAACTTAGACAGTTTCTACTATATCAAGCAAACAATAGTGGAATTCACTACGCGCATTTGTTGATGTAAATAAGCAATTTCAACTAAAATCTATCTGAAATGAGTATACAAAGGTATTTTTATTGAAATTATTGATTACTTGATGGTATCTCATCTTAACACAAATAGTTTACTCGATCCATCGAGTATAGTTTTACCCAATGGTATTCTAGCAAGGAGATATGTCAACCATATTCTACTATCGATGGACGGTGCTGCAAAAAAAGTAATCAACAAGAACGAAACATGAGAGAAAACCGTGTATAGAAGAAAAATTATTTTAAATGAGACTAAAGGTTGCAAGATTTGTTGAATTCTGAATTCCTTCAGCAAGCGGAGTACAAGAGAGGAGAGGACGAGATCTTCCGATTGGTGCATGAGCATCAGCTGAGGCATTTGCATGTGATAGTAGTCAATGAATAGTTTTCAAGGAAACTATTCATTGACTACTAGGTATTTAGTAAATCTACAAGTTTTTATATTTCCATGTAACTATAGAAATTTAGATTTCAAAACTGAAACTCAATCTGGCTACTCATAACAATTTTACTTTATAAAAGTAGAGACTAAGACATTGTAAATCACAAGCCGAGTCACACGATGGATACATATTTTATTATAGGCTTCAATGATAGAGAGATGCAACCCCAAAAAAGTATTCATATACATAATAGGTTAGTGTTATACCTACAATATAAGCTCCATATATATATAACAAGTTAATGCTATAATTACACGATTGCAAGTCATAGGCAGCATGTCTATACTGGGCGCCTAAATTAGTTTAATTTAGTCCCATCAAGAAAGTTAATTTAGGCGCTTTTGTGCTAAAAGAGTGCATTTGAGAACGAGTGAAAGATTTGGAAGTACAGGGAGAGAGAAACACATCACGCGGGGTTTGCAATCGGTTTGCTGTGGAACTTGTGAGCGAGAGAAATTTAATTTACAACCTCGATGAGCTAATGTGTCAATGAATTGATTAACAATCATCACAACTGAATGAGTTCCCAGGCTTCAATTTTAATCCAATTACAAACTAGATACTCAGTTAATTTAGGCACTAGAAGGAACTCATAAATTTACCTAATTTAGTTGCTCGGTATACGATGGCCTCAAGTAATCATGCCTGGTCACATGGAATTATATTGTTATGGAAAGAATCATGTTATATATTATCACATGGCCCCAAGAAATGGTGCCGAAGGTTGAAGTGAAACATGGCTAGATGCATCTGCAGAAGAAGTTTCAATCTATTTAGTATTTGGTATCACTATAACGCCCACCCCGAACCAATTGGAAAACTTGCCCTCAAGAACTTGCGAGTATTCACGGAGAATACTCGCAAGTTGAACTCCCATAGGACAAAACAATACCTGATGGGTCCAATGAACTATTTATGTTTCGATACCCTCAAGTAATTTTCTCGATGTTTATCACGATCTAGATGATGAACACATGGATAGTTAGTTCCAATAGCATTGCAATTCTATTGGGACGCTCTTGGTTTCATGCGTGTAAGACTTGAGGGCTAGTGTCATCAGTTCTGCCAATATTATCAGCTTTGGAGAAGTAGACCCACAGTCAGCAGGAATGTCAGGTCATACCGACTGTACGAGCTCAAGGGTCGTACTTCCCCCGATACATGGCGTTCAGTATTCTGTCATTGACTAAAATAGGACAAGTTAGACTCTCGCCGTCAGACTCCTGCAGATCGTACATGCTGTGAATCAGATCCCACAATCGGTGGTTAATGTCAACTGCAAGTGATGTACAGCTCCGGTCGTCTGTCTGTCTGTATGGGAGACTGACGAATTCTCGCAGGCAGTCTCGAGGATTTGCTCTTGTCCTGCCATTTGCTTCCCCACACACTGTAAACATAGCTCGTACCCAACGTATTGAATCCGAATGTGGGAAAGTCGCTACTGCCTCAGGCCGAGTTAATTTTTTCACATTTAATTCGGCCCTCTGTGCGAATAAATCTGACCGTATCGAATTGAGCATTGCACAGAGCAATACCTGCATGCTGCTCAGTTTTTGGTATGCAGAACTTAAGCGATGACAGACATGGATGCATCATAGAAACTGCAGGATTGAAGACTGCCTGTTGCTCACTGATCAGGAAACTCTTTAGAAGACGCCCATTGTGAACAAAGGAGAGGCTTCATCTTCAAACCCAGACTCTCAAGTTCGAGAGATTTCATGCACGATACGTTAATTGTGTTCACTTACCACATTGTGTGTGACCGACCGACTAGATGTCATTCATTCACTGTCAGAATTACAAGACACCATCTCGAAGTACCTCATACTGTTCTACACCGTTCGCCTATGGAACGCGCTGGCCACTCTCTGGTGAAGAGAATATAAAACTTTCTCTCGTTCGCTGTCCAATGGCACTTCCTTCTTCCGTCCTCCTTGAACTCTTGCCTTTCGCAATCATGAATTTCATGCGGGACATCTGATCTATTGCCTCGTATACTTCACTAGTCGAAGATTTGTGGAAGACGAGTTGGGAAGTGTGGCTCAAAATGATCAACTCAGGGACAAGCTCAATCTTGTACCCGGGAGTTTCATGCTTTACACTGCTGGCTTTGAATCATCACAGTGAAGTGCAAACTTTCCCAATCTTCCTCGTCTTCCCATCCTTCTGGTTCTTTCAGTGTTGCCTATCCCCTCCGGTAATGCATAACCAGAAGAGATGTAAATCAATTTGTTTCCGATTATTAGCACCATAGCCAACGATGCAATGAAAAGCCTCGAGCAAGGTCAAGGTGCCAGTATTTGAGGCAGGAAACAAATTGCCAGATAGAAAGAAATGCTTACCCCACATCGAAATCAGGCTCCAGGAATTGTGGAAACGCAGCAGATCCGAGAATTGACCGAACCAAACTTTCGCCCACCGAGAAGAACGTGCCACCTTGACAAGACATCAGGCGCATGGAACACTTAGATTCCAGACTCGTATATAAAGTGATGAAGATCTAACCCACAAACACATTCACCGCTCAGCGCTTTCGGATGTTTTAGTTCATGAGTGACTCGTGGTCACCGAGATGTCCACATTCTCATCGAGTCAGAGTATTTCCCCATATACGCACTGATTGTGATCGTCAATCAGTGCGTGTATCAATCGGAATGATCGGAAATCAATTGGCAATTCGCATTTCGATAAGCAAAATTGCAATGCAAAGAGTGCGTTGTCAATGAAGCAGGGGTTTATGACATACCAGAGACAACGAAGGGGAATTTTGACGCACTGGGCGACGGGCGCTGGAAGGAGAGAAATCGTGAGAGAGAAACGATGCAGGCCAGAATTGCTCCCTGACTGACTGACCGACCGACGACGAATCGAGAGAGGTCACGCGCGAGCGCCCTGATCGGTTCGATTCTGAGACACGCTGTGAGCTCTGAGGCGCTTCCGCTCGGAATTCTCATCGATGGTCTTGGCCGGAGGGCCGGCCAGGACGTCGGCGACACCGCCGCCTTGTTTGGCCTTCAGTTTCAGCTCTTCCTTGCGGGCGACGATGGCGCCCGTGATGTTGCCTAGGTGCCCGATGACTCCCCTCAGATTCTGCTGGATGAACTTCTGCATCTGCATGTCGACCACCGACAGCTTGCCTCCCCTCACCATCTTGTCCGACATCAGCTTGCCCTTGGCCAGCCGCCTGCTCTCCTCCTCGATGGCGATCATGCTCTTCCGCAGCGCCCTCTTCTGCTGCCCCTGCGACTTCCGTCGAGCTTTCTCGATTTCTTCATGGTTCTTGAACATCGTCTCTAATCCCCCAAATCCTCCCTCACCCCCTCCCCCTCCGCTCGATCAAGGCCTCCCTCCTCGGGCTCGGGGCGACTCAATCGTCCGAAATCATCGTTCCCTTCCGTTCGATCGATCGATTTCACCGATCTCGAGTTCTTCGTCCACCAGCGTCGAGCACATACGGCATCAATCGGGAGGGTCTGGCTGCGACGGGCGAGTAAAGTACGAGAGTTTCTGAAGGGGCATAATATTCTGAGGAGGAACGAGATGAAAAGTCGCTGCCAATGACGTCCCGTGTACTCAAACCAATTGCATCCATCCGTCTCTCGAGGCACGCGGGCCGACGAGCCAAGTACATTGCGCCTGAATGCAGTCGATTCGATCGTCTGTGGGGGCCCAGACAGACTCGCCGGGGCCCCCACCACACTCACTGTGGGATCGCTCGGTCGAGGCTGGACGCCACGAGGTGACGAAACGCCAGCGAAAAAAGGACCGAAACGATGCACTTCGCTCTCCCATTCGGATTTCGCCTCTCCGATTTCAGATCGGGCCCAAGGACAAAAGCCACGCCCGTATGAAATCCGCCAGCTGGTGGCGTCGCTGTGGCCGCAGCAGTCTGGCCGCTCAGAGCATTATATCTGTGCAGCACGACATGTTATTCATGTTGATGCGCACGTTGGCTACTCGTCCTCCTCCTCCTCCTCCTCCTGCTGCTGCTGTACTTTTTCTGCTCGCCTTTTCCTCTCCATCTCTACCTTGATCCTCTTCCACCGGAGGATGGAGGGTCGAGGCAGGCAGCCAGTTTCGACACGCAAGAGCAAATTTATCGGCCGGTCGGTCGGTCGGTTGGTTGGTGGTAGGCCGTGAGCCTTGCTCCCAGCCTGCAGGCCATGCTTCTACATTGCACATACACTTCCTTCGCTTTAATTCCGCATTCATCTCGGAGCTCTGTCATTGGAGGCAGGCTTGGCTGGTGAATCTATCCTTCATTTGAGCCCGGGCACGAGGAATGGAACGTCAGACGGGCGACTGCCCGAGGATCGATGGATGATGGAAAGCTGGATAGCTGGATAGTTGGATAGCTGGATGGATGATTGATTATTCAATCGTAAAATCTGAGCAGGAGATGACTGCCTTTCTGAGAGTGCCTAGATTCGTTGGCCATGCATCTTGTCATTCACTCACTCGGAGCATCGATGGCCACAAATGACTCGGTGGTGGTGACACATCACTTTTCGGGTGTGAAGTGCTCGAAGGACAATGAAGGCTCGTCCGTCACTAGATGCTTGCAGTAATTCGATATTTTTTTAATATTTTTTTATCAATCCTCTCCGATGAATGACATCGCTGCAAGCCATGAAGACAGAGCGTTCTCTCTCACGCAACACTCCCCCCAAGAGCTCTGAGCTTCGGCGTGAAGCACATGAATACTTATACATTCACTGCAGCTTGTTGCGCGGCTTCTTCAGCCCAGCCACGAGAGCGTCACAGATGTCAAGGCACCGAAACTCTATGATAGAATCAATCTATCCATAAGCCGACTGGATATACGTTCTAATTTGGCCAGAGCGTGATGCCCGACGAATATGGTCTCGGTCTTGGCTTGCGGTCCTAAGCCATCGTTCACAGGGTCACACAGCCTGTAGATTCCAATCCAAGCTGCAGCAGCTATTTCGCCTCGTATCCAGCAATGAGTTGATGAATTGGGCGGCGGGCCTTCCCGATTTGATCCTTCTCCTGATCTCGGTCTCAAGGTATTGTAGGATGCCGGGACTCTCGGAAAGAAGGCAAGGCAATGGAGGAAAATAGAAATTTCAGCTACTTGCGCCGTGGTTGCGAGTACACGATACCGAAGCTTGGATGTCAAGTCCAGGACTGAAATGGTATAACTTGGTGTGCAGTTAATGATATAGCTCAGCCGGCAGGAAATTGGCATGAATGTCAACAAGCTCGTGTGTTTGAGCTTGTGAGCAGATTCCAATGAGGCAGAGACCAACCAGCCCACACTGGCGCTGCCCTGCCATTTGAAAAGGTCCATGTATGATGCTTGCACACTTTCCTGAATTCTAGGTTGCCTAGTTCTTCGATACGACGACGACTTTCAGACCAGCCTTGCACTGCAGCAACGGCATCGGCCTTGACTTTTGGTAACTGATCAAGAGCCAATGCTACATCAGTAGTTGCACGACTACTCTGACTGACGCAACGCAAAGCTAAGCTTACAAACCTCATAGCTCCTGAACAGAAGAGCCTGAATTTACACTACCCTTCGACAGAGTGCCATAGAACTCGACTCGCATCCCCCGCGTGCTCTACTTCCATTCACCTCCATCCATTCCTTGATATATATTATAATGGTATATAAACTATATACCATTCACTGATTCTCCGCCAGTAACTCGACATCTATATACTACGGTAGCAGAAACCCAGACAGAGAGAGAGAGGAGGAGGAGGAGCAAAGAGTCCAATTTTGAGAAAGCGTCTAACATTGTACTTTATTATTACACGACAAAATTGAGCTCGCTGGATGTACAAAATCTGAAACAAATGTAGCGTTGGAGACGCTCAAAGCAGCTCAAAATCTCATAGAAATGGCTTGAAAGTCTATGTCCACTTCGGTAGATACTGGAATCAGTCGGTAAATGACAGTGCACAAAGGCAACCCAGATTCTTACGACCGCAAAACCAGGACAAAGCTTCTACCAACCTATGAATGAATCCACCTAAATATGGTACAAATGAAGTCCAGAACAAACTCCGCAAATCCGTCGGCCCTGTCAGCAGAGAGGCCACGAGCACCGAACGAACGACACACGTCGACGACTCCGAGCACTCGCCCTTCGCCCGCTTAACCCAGCCACTTATGATCACGCACATGGCGGTCGTCGCATGCACCGGCGGCCATTACTCCTCGTTCGACATATGCTCGTTTCAGCCCCGACTCCTCTTGATCTTCCGAGTAAAACCTTTCCTGTTCCAAAGCTCGTCCGAAGGTCGTGCACTCGTGGTCGAACGCCCTCGTCGTCGACCTCTCTGCTGCTTCTCATTCACATTCCCAAATAGAAAGTCCACGCCACCACGGGACAGAAACACACACACAGACTGTGACAGTGACAGGTCCATGTCTATCAATCTGTCCGTCGTGCATGGCACGTAGCCTCTAATACTAATACTACTCTGACTACTGCAAGCTGTACATGGGGGGAATCCGGTGCACCCGAGCTCGAGCTCGATCTCGATCACGATGTCGATCGACAAGCAAGCGAGGCCTGGAGGTCGAATGGGCCGGATGGGATGGAGGGAGGAGGGGACTAATCTCGCCAGAATTTGGAGTGCTTGAAGCACTCGCGGCTGGCCTGCAGAATGTCGGAGGGGGCGGCGGTGCCGGAGACGATGACCTTCTGCTTGATCTGATCGCAGGTGACGGCCTGCACGCCGTCGAGGTCGAGCAGGTGGTTGGTGATGCGCTCCTCGCAGGCCTCGCAGCACAGCGGCACCTTGAGCTTCACCGTCTGGCCCGGCACCGACTGCCCGTAGACGTTGTAGAAGTTGGTCGACTGGTACGTGCGCGGTACCGTGGACGTATGCTGGCCGTGGTAGATGTCGGACGACGCGTACCCGGTGGCGAAGGTCGCCGAGGCCGACGATGTTGGGTAGCTGGTGTGGTGCGAGCCGTGGTAGCGCCCGGGCGGCGAGTGCGCGTTGCGCTGCCCGTAGCTGCTGCCATAGCTGCTGCCGTGGTCGTAGTAGCCCCCGTCGCGCGACGGCGGCGGCGAGTGCGAGGACCTGTTGCGCCGGCTCCCGAACAGCCTCTCCGTCAGATGCAGCCCCGTGATGGACTCGCGCCGGAACCGCGGCGGCGAGTGCGACGACCTGCTGTAGCGCGACGAGTTGTGGTACGCGCCGTCGCGCCCTCGCGAGTTCTGGTGCAGGTACCGAGCCGAGTTCTCGTACTCGCCGTCGCGGTACTGCGACCGCGACGAGTGCCCATACGACGATCCCAGGATGCGCACCGGCTCCTCCTGGTTGCTGTAGAACACATCGTTCACTGACAACATCTTCTCTGAGCTTCGATCTCCACCTCCACCTCAAATCTCCACTGCAATTTCCGCCCGACCTGTGAATCCAATCACCCAAACATCAATTCCTCGATCACCCTCTCAACTCTTCCTATCTCACTCTTTTCTCCCTCCCTCCCTCCCTCTCGGTCTGTCCGTGTCCGTCTGTCCGTCTGCAATCGCAGATTCGAGATCGCTGTCTGTCTAGATGTCTGTTAATGCACGAGTCCGTGGCCCTCGAAGGGAGAGGAAGTGCTCTTTACACGGCGAAATGTAGGCAGATGTGAAGTGAAGAAGGAGGTGTGTAGGAGCGAGGCCCACCTGCTTGATGCTTCTCGTGATCGAAGGGTCGCTGTACTCGAAGAGATCAGAACTGTCGGGCACGAGAGCGCATGCTCGGATTTGATGGCGAGTGGAAGGAGGAGAACGAGGGAGGGCAGGAGAGGAGAGGAGAGGAGAGGGGAGGGAGGGGAGTGGAGTAGGGGGCACGGGGAGAGGGCGAGAGCTGAGGGATTCTGGGAGCGAAGACGTGCTTTATAGATGAAGAGGTTGAGAACACGCGAGCGAGGGGCGGAAGGAGAAGCAAGCCCGACACAAGGCCCAACACAAGCCAGCGAACACTCGGAGCGAGCTACGACGAAGACGACGAGGTCGACTACAGTCGCACATACTTATTTTATACCTTCCTGTACGCTACAGTTGTGAATTGCACTCAACCACCGCATCCCATTCCGCAGCTATTCCACGGCCTCGCATCGTCCTATCGCCCTACGGAACCTAGCCTTGACGACGACAATGTCCCCAGCCAATTCCAGCTCCCACCCGAGTGTGGTCGGTGTCAGTCGCCACGCAACGGATTACGGTACGCCAGGACTCGCTCGTCGACCTTCACGAGTACGGTCGATGGATCGCAGAGAAAAATGTTTGGGCCGAGCTGCTGCCCGACTGACCGACTGAATAAAAAAAACCTCGACGTGAATACGATTCCGCATGCGAATGTGCTATGCACGAAAATATCCGTCAGGAGACTGGAGTTGAAAATGAGTTGAAAATGAAAATGCCAGGGGACCAAGTCTCCGCGAGAGAACTCAGATCAGATGAGCAAATATTAGCAGCAAGCTGAATGGATGACTCTGTCTGTGGCAGTATTTTGGCTGCAGAGTCATCATTTCACCTCCGCTTTTCCTCATGTTAGGGAGGGTGTCTTAGAATAGAGTGGTCGTAGACTGGAGTGATGCTAACTCTGAACTGGATCTGCAATCATTTCGCCGTCGCTGCTCCTTTACTCCTCCTCGCTCTCAGGTGATCAGAAGAGAGGGTCCGAGGTCCGAGTGTTTCTACTCAGCTCATTATAGCAGGTTAAGATTACCACCTCCACCCCTCGATAATTTAATATCTGGATCCCACGACTTTCTGCCATTTTCCCAATTAATGTTCACCATTCAAGATAGAATATGCTCTGTCCTATAACCCAGTGTTTGTCGTCACATAGGGCTACAAGTAGCCCTTTCATCTGAAGGACCTCTGTCGTATTGGAACGCAGATCAGATGTCCTTTCGGAGCTCTGTGACGACCTCTCTCTCTGACCATCTTCAGAGAGAGTCGGGGAAGAGCTGCCGTAGGTTCGGACATTTTGCCTCCTGTACGTATCATGTACTGTCCATGAACCTTTCCCTTCATCCTAGGAGGGAGCGTGCCCAGAAAAAATCTGAAAACTACAAATCCAGAACGGTGGTTTTCTTGGAGTGTCTTCAGTAGGATTGGGAGCGCATTGGCAAAAAGAATTGTACTGAACGGATCCATCCTTTTCGCTATACTGCTTGGCCTCCGGAATTGTTTGTTTAAAGATCAAATGCGCATGAGGCACCTTTAATCCGTGCTCACTTTAAAGAGCGTGCGTCCCCACACTCTCTCCGGCTCCACCATGGCCAACACTGACAGGGCGCGTGTGTGCGTGTTGAGATTTGGCTCGTTTTAAATATAGGAGAAAGATGAAACCCTGTCTGACGAATCCTTTTGATTCAATAATAGACTGCCGTACTATCCAGTGATAAAAAGGATGAAATTCCCGACAGTATTCCTTGAGACGGGAGTCACTTGATTCATGCCTGCCCTGGTTGAATGCAGCAAGCTTCTTCACCATTCTAGCATGTGTCACAATGGCAAGTGTCTTAGCTTTTCTTCAGGAATATCACCTCATGTGGCCTTGTGAACCACGCTGGGAGTTGTAACTTGGTTGTTCGCACTTGAATTCGAACATTGCCAATGGAGCAATTTTAGAACCAGTCACAATGAAAGAGACAGCGAGTGAGTGAGCGGCTCCACACTTCCGACGGTGCTGAGACCTAGTCGGTAGATCATACTGCTGGCTCCAATGGCACATCCAAGTTGCAACCACCGATTAACAACTGTAAAGATGCTCACCTGGTTCGGGTCATCTTCTAATAGTTTCTAATTATCGGGCCATAATAAGTAACAAATGTATGAATTACATAAACTCATCAATTAATTGCATCTTTAGATTCGAGACACCGACTCCTGTTTAATGAAAAGGGGAGGAAAGTAGCTAAAAGATTCAATCCACTGATGGTTTAAGTTCTCTCAACTGGGCATTGTACAGACTTGACTAGCAGTAGGACAGTACCAGACAGACCATTCCGATGAGAGGCTGACCAAATGTCTCTCATCTCTTCTCAAGAGTATTTGTCAGCTTGCCCGTAAACAGGCAACTTTACTCGAACAGAATATACTCTCATTTGTATCATAGTGGTCTTACATATCGAGAACGGAGCCACAAGTGATAGAGGAATCCCCGATATCCGTGAGATTCAGTTCGTCACTGCAGACTTTCCGTTATTTGGTTTCAACTGTTATCCCAAAATTTTCTACGGGCATGGCTCTAACAGCACACTCAATATACAAGATAGGAGATCATGCATGCACCACAAGTGAGTAATAAGTCCACAAGTCTTGCATGAGGGATAAGATCTAGAGAAACGCTCCGTGTAAGTTTGAAGGGCCAGCTTCATGACGGACAGGAGGAGGAGAAGAAGAAGAAGGTTTCGTGAAGAGCAGGAGTCAAAGGGCGTTACATGTTTAAGAGTGAACGTGACTCGTGAGAAAGTTTCCGTAGATGAATCTGCGGAAGGAAGGAATCTGCCACCTCTTGAATATCATTATCGTATGCTGCTCGGACTATAGTCCAAATCCGACTTCTGCCGATCATTTTCGTCCGCATCGAGAAAGAGCGAGGCATACAACCAAGAATCAGAGAGGGTTTCCGATGCACTATATCTCCACGGTGATGTGATGCAAACCACGTGACATGACTGACATACCTGCTACTCGGAAAAGCGGGAGTAGGTGATGTGGAACGGTTTGGCTCTTCTCCACAGGGAGAAAAGCGAAAGACCGGAGTCAAAGCATGTTCAGATTCCTCGAGCTCAAGAAGAGATCTGAAATCCAGATCGATGGTGTGTACTACGTGATTCAGTAACCGAACCCGTGAGACATTCGATCACCCAACTGAATTTCAGAGGGTCCGGCAGATCAGACAAATTTGCAAGAGATAGCCCAAAACTCGATCTGTAACTCCACCTCGTGAGCATCAGGCTGTTGAATTATTCTCGACCGATGCTAATCCGAATTTACCATCGCGAAGGACTGAATAATTTCGGGCCTATACGGCGATTCTGAGCTAATGGAGGTAGCGGTGCGGCAATCGAGGACGGTCGGAATCAGCCACCACCTCTTGAATCCACTTTGTCACACAGAATGTAATCTATGAAGGGAGGGAGGGCAGCATGCGAGCCATAGCTTCGAATTGGGCGTAGCGGGCGGTGCCTGATTGCGGAGCGGAAAGTGCGAATGAAAGGCTCTACCACCGCGTTGGGTCCACAGACAACGCAGGCATTGATATATCCACCCCCTGCGCATCGTCAAATCTAATCTGTACTGCTCTGGTCTGCTATGCTATGCTATGGTGGGTGGCAAATCTGGACAAAGCCAAGTGTGCATGCCATGCTGTTGTTCTACAAGACGAGGCAAATTTCTGTCCCTAGTTTACAGATTTTTGCCCTGTGCATCTCCCAGTCCCCTGCTTTATCCATTTATGCACGTTTGAGTCAGTGGCGATGCTATTCCATTCCTTCCCGCAGATAATGAACTGCAATTATAGAGATTTTAAAATTAATGGTATCACTTGCTACTGTTATAGAGCTTGATGCAGGATATAGTACTTTCCTACCTTGTATATCATTGAAAGTATATAGTGCGGATAGATTTAAGTTCATTCTTTAAGATCCTTGTAGTGCATGATCGGGTCTTCCCACACAAATACATCCACTTGTCAGTAGAAGGAAAAAAATATAAAATGAGAGGGGTTTCTCACGAGCACGCACTTGGGGTACATAATTCGTAGAATTGCGTTAGTCATCTATTTTCTCACTCAACAAATAAATCGAGTGGATAATTTGTCCTCATGTTTCAAAACTCCTTATGAAAAACTACATATATTTCTGGAGAGATTGATACAATTTGGAATTGTCCCTATGATAGCTCTAAGGTCAAAAATACAAAAAAAATCAAACCAGCAAAACGGACGATCATGAATGTCATAGATCGTATCCTAAGCTATTTTCTCTTCCTAGTAGAAAAAACTGTGCAAACAATTATTTATTGGCTCTAGCTTCCATTTTACATGATTTTTTTTTAGAATATGTTCATATGAAAATATGTTCATCTGCATATTTTCATCAAATATGCAGATGAACATATCATTTAAGAAGCAAATCATTAAGAACACTCTTATCAAAACGGTAATTTTTGCTTTCTTCATCATCAAACCTTTCTCATCTTCGCACTATTTACAAACGAAAAAATTGTTTAAATTACAAAATTGTCATCAAAATGTACAAAGCATTAAGTGGAGAAAAAGAGTGTGATGAAATGACTTGCTTAGTATCAAATTAATTGACTAGAACTGCGTGTATTATTATAAAGCACTCAATACAGCTTCTAAAAACTCAATATTCAGGATTTAAATTCAAATATCAAATACATTTGATTCTACTATATATGTTTAAAGCTGAATGATAAGCTCTAGAATTATTGCTTGCATGCAAATGTTGAACAAAATCGAATACATTGTGTTGATATGCAAAAAAAAAAGCATCTGAAGATATAAGATGTCCTATTATATTTATGTGAAATTGATCATGAACAAAAATAATTATAAAATGCAATGAAATGAAAATTGAAAAAGAGGATGAGATTAATTAATCTTAGTATGAACAAAAAATCAATGTGCTTTTTGTATTACAAAATTATGATGTGACTTAGAGTTGCATCATAAGTTTAAACATTTATTAAAATAGAATATCTCTAGATGCATCCTTTTGATTATAATTCTAGTGAAATATTTTTTATGTTATTTTATTTCATCTTTAAAATTATTTTATCTAAAAAAATTATGCCCGATAATTAAATTTTCATGTTCAAAATCATATCATAACAGAAATCTAAAAAAATTAGATAATCTAGCACCAACTTTCATTTCCTCTCAAAAATTTCTATGCCAAATAACACATTTTCGCATCTAAATTATATCACAATATAAAATGTCAAAATTTAAGATCACCCAGCACAAACAAAAATATGTGTAAATTGTGAACAAATCAAAAACTTCTTTCTGAAAAAAAGAAGAAAAGATTTTTTTAAAAATCAAAAAACAGGAAAGATGTAACTAGAATCAGTCAAAACTTTACAAAGCAATTTAAAACTTGGATAAAAAATATGTAGCAGAAGTAGCAAAGAGAATATCATATGTAGACTTAAAAATTGTAAAAACTGAATGAATTGAAGAATACGAATGCAAGGACTTGGTGATTTTTTTTTGCATCAAATATATTCTCTCAAGCTCATTTGTCAGTGTTAAATCAATAATTGCAGTGTACATCATTATAAATCACCAGGAAAAAATAATTTTGTATCATGTGCTAACCATGCATCACATCAAATTGTACATATTTTGTCAATAGAATATTCAAGAACTGATCATATGCTATACATATGGTTTTTTCAACATTTGTTGAATTTTAGTCCACATATATTTATATATGACAATAACTTCATTTGAAGATAAATTAACTTACAGTACACATTTAAGTAGACACAAGAATAGATTCTTTTTTACTTCTTATGTGTTTGATCATTTGCATAAATTTTCCAAATCATTTATGCATATGATTACCTCAATAAATGAAAGACAATCCAATCCATATAATGTGATTAGATGTATCTACTTGACATAATATCATAAGGTTTTGTTTTGTGGAATCTTTACTTTAAATTTATCTTAAACCAATGAAATATTCAGTAATTTACATCCACAGTATATTCAATCTTGCATCTAAATTTTTTGTATGTTCTTATCTATTTTACTAAGTCTCTATCCATAAACATATCATCCAAATATTAATTTCATCTAAACTTAAGCATATGTTCTTATTATATTTATTCTATTTTCAAGACTGTTGAGCAAATTTACTTCTTGTGAATTTGTTAAATATCTTATTATGAAATTCCAAAATATCCAGGCCGCTGGATTCCAAACTCGTTTCGCTAAGTTCCTACTTTTTTTATTGAAACACCAGCCTAGATTACACATAAGATTCATCAAGCATTAAATCATCTGCAACATCAAGATACACTAATGCATGTAACTCGGAACTTGTTCAGGAAAACACAAATACATTCTTTGCATACAAAACACGAATATCTAAGTTAAACTATATATATATCTTCAATTGGTTTTACATTATCAAACGGACTATCAAGGCTTTCGATCATCTCCAATGAGCTGCACGTAGCTGAAGTCCTACGCCTTGTTCAATAAATTGTTTGAATATCGTTGTTCTATCTTGTGCTATGGTCTGACTTCGCCTCATGATCTCAAATCTCCTGAGTTCTAGTTTCCGTTACAACGAATCCATGCACATTTTACCCTAGATCGTAATGCTTTTTTAATGTAATTAGGATATTATTTTATCTCGTCGTGAAAAAGGTGGTTTTACATGTCAGTGTCTTACGAGTATCTTACGACGGAAACTAACCGGCCTAACTGGTGCATAGGGTAGACACGAATGCGCGAGATCAAAATGCCTACTGAGTATTCTAAACTGTGATTCACATAAGATCTAAACATGTATGGAATTTTAACTGATGTTGGAAAGTCAAAAGATGTCGATTATGGTATCAAGTTACTTGTACCAATTTTTCGTAAGCTACACGGAGTCGTAAGGTGTGTTTGGTCTCCATCTCATGTTTCGCACCTTTGGAGGTCAGGTTTCACACCTCGTCAAATTCGAAAACTTCAGTGATTCTCAATCTAACACCCGTAGGAAGAGTTTACTCACATCAGTTTAATCCACACCTTCTGATTTTCCAACATCCGCTAATATTAACCACCATTTGATTGAGCATTTAATACACCAGAGAATCTTTGGGTCTCTGTACTGGACATATTGTGGCAACAGGTCCAAAGGTCTGAGGGTAAGCGAAAGATGCATGACAATTATTGGACTCAAAACTGTTCTGAATACTGTACCTCATATTAATAATTTTGAGTAATAGACTGATCACGCATAACGTTGATGAACGTATACATGTATCATTATCGTTCCCCTGGGTGAACAAGAAAAGTGTCCCGTCTTGGAGAGAGGTAAATGCCAGCAAGGAAAATGACATCGATGTGGAATCCTAAACATGGAAGCAAGTGTAAACTCCTGTGTTACAAGTCTTGATCTAAGGGCCTGGGAAACATGTTGCAAACAAATTTCGTGATGGATGAATAAGGTACCTAAAACACTTTCTGGTAAACAGATACATGAATAGTGGCAGATAATCTTCTCCTCGTGATAAAACGCCCGTGGTTGATGCCATGAAAATTGGCCAGTATTGGTCGAAATAAATCTAGAGATGCGGTCCAAAGTAGCGTGGCATTGGCAGAGGTCAAGTTGAAATTTGGTATGTAATATATACTCATCGAATTATTCCTTCTGTAGATTGGCATTCTTTCTTTAAAATAGTAGTAAACAATGGACAAGATGGCTATCGAGAAGCTTACCAACATTTACTGGTATAATCGTAGATAAAATCGTTTTCAGAATTTGAAAATTTTCATGAATCTAAAAAATTTCATTAACCTGTATCATTTTCAATACAATTATAAGCCAAATCCCATTTATTGTAAACTTAGTAACGCCGATATCCCAAAAGCTCATTTTGTTCATTCGAGCCTGGTTCATCCCCTTGAACTAGACGCGAGTAAGGAATGAGTAAGTTGAAGGGACTGCACGACAAACTTTGAAGGTAAAGCGTAATCAACACACTCCACACTGCTTTGTAGCATCCAAGCATCGAAGTCAGAAACATCATCAGCTCTAAGTTGGCCAGCTATAGACCATTGCTTGAAAAAATCTCGGTAAATTCAATACCGACAAAAATTCCAGATATGCAGCATGGCAGAGAACAAATTCTCGACACAAGGACAAGTAAGACCGAGGAGTTGACATATACGAGGAGTTGATTGACGCAAGCTTAAAAAGCATTCATGGACGTGAGGAAAAGTTTATCTAAGATCCGCGACAAGGTTGAGTAGATCCTCATAGCTATGAATGCAGTTTGGACATTCTACTGTCCAAGAACCCTCTATAACAGAAAGTGGGTGCCACAACAAAGCAATCAATTACAGCTCGCCACTGGACGAAAGATCCTCCAGTCTACAACTATCTCCAGAAGAAAGGAGGGCCGGGATGATACTAGCACTAGACATAAATTTAGAGGAGCAGTACTCAATTAGTATCATCGAAAATGAAGACCAATAGTAGAACATTGAAAAAGTAACAAACGTTGGGATGAAAAACAGGTTAGTCGAACCAATTCCGCCAGAGTGAGGCCTTCGACCAAACCTACTTAGTAACCTTTCCGTAAGGACTGGTTAGTGCATAAAACAAAAGTAAACACGAGTGTGAGCTACACTCCCACATTAAAACTCCAGAGTGTTGAAATCCTGATGTGAAACAAGAACCCTCAATTGACAAGATTTGAAAAAGACCAGGTTCCGTTGTGACCGTTTTAACTCTATTGTTAAAAATCAGAACATGAACAATCAACGACCAGACCCATGTATTTCTTCTGCAAAGGGGCGATGAATGGTTACTACCAACTAGTTGCAATCTGCGCTAACATCCCACAAGCGAAATGCCGACCCCGATGTCCTAGGTAAAATTGGAAACAGGTGTTGGGTCAGGGTCTCTTTCCATGATTATCATTACAGACTCTTCCCGCAAAGTATCATTACAGATGGAGAGCATCCCTTTTGAGTCACAAGCGTCTCCCAGCTGGCCTTTTGAAAGGCTGGGAAGAAACAAGAAATGGTGGCATTTGAGCTTCCAGCCCAATGAGATCAAAAAATACGAACACCAGGGCAGCCGTTATCGTCACCATCTTCGTCTTCAACTGCTCTTATGCTCTACTCAGACACAACCTTAACGAGCTATAGAGGCCTGAGTGGCAGAAGCAGTGGCGGCCACGTTGTTCGCGAGCATGTAACTTCGAACTGCAAGTTGTTTGGTCTTATCAATGATTTGCTCGTACCTGTTAGAGAACACATAGAAATACTTAGAACGTGACTAGGAAACCCAAGACACAAATGCACCTGGAGTCAGTACCTTGAACGAATCGGGTGAGTACGATAATGGAGGTGAAACTACACTGTTCCATGTGTGATAAAGTAACAAATGGACGAGCTAGACAAAGAAACAAGAAGTAAATCTCCAGGCTTTGTCGTCCACACTAAAAGACCGTCAGTCTCAAAGACTTCGTACTTACACGTTAGCATATTGAGTTCCCATCACCACAGTTCCCATCTTCGAGTCGATCTTGGCGTCCAGGCGGGCATTGCGGATGAGGTTTACAATCCAGCGCTCCGCGTCGTCGTAGTTCATGTTCAGTTTCTGAGACAACATACTGAACGGGGCAAGGTCACATCAATACAGAAAGTACTCAGAAAACATCCCAAAGCATAAACCTCAGGCAGGTGCGACCCTAGGTGTCCTTCACAACAGACAGCAAGGGAAGTGTAGCAAGGAAAGTATACTTATGTGAACGTACCCAATGTCAATGCACTGATGTATCCTGCAGTAAGTCTCGAAAATGAACAGTCTTGCGTTCTCAAGGAACTCATCCCTCAAAGGGACAGTAACAAAACCGTTGTCTTGCACTTCCTTTCCAAGGAAAAAGTCGTTCAGAATGAGCTGGAGATAAGAACAGCCACCAGTCAAAGTGAATTAAAAATAGATCGGCTAGACTAGCCGAGGCAGCAAATCCAATAATGCGTTCAAAATAGATAGACGGACTTCGAGGTGACTGATCAAAACACCAAAAGATCATGTTTAATGTTTGGTGATGTAAAATTGATGACTTGGTAACAACAGTTGGTACCAAAGGAGAATGTTTCGTGTTAAAGGGGAAGCGATAGAGCGATTCAGAACAAAAGCCAAATTATGCAGTGCAGTTTCCTAGTTTGACTTCTAAATGGAGCTTTGGTCACAAGGTACCAACAGATAGGGCTCAGGTGCTGAGGCTTTCGTGCCAAACAAAGACTGATGTAGCTTGTAGACATACACAATTACGCTCAACGCAGTCAGACTGCTCCCTTTCTTTCGCCACAGGAATCAGAAAAATCTGTTGAGACGAAATATATATCGCCACACCTAACAACTCTTTCGCCCCCCTGAGACTGTAATCATCTCTCCATACATATTTGTCTAAGACAAATATATAAAAAAAACACGTCTGTAGACATGTATGCCGGAGGACAGACCACACAGAGCCTTCGCGACAAGATGCCGCAACACATGCGACATGAATCCATAAGGTAGACTGACCAGGGCTTTCGTTAACTCGAAAGTGTCTCCTACCGGAGAAAACCCTCGCCTTATGCTCGGGTTGAGAAACAAATTCAACAATACGAAGTTCAGAAACCAGAAGGCAAACCTCCTCACGGTGGATTGTTCATCATCGTGACGAGACACTACTGAAGCTCCTTAGCCAATGCCATAGAAGGCAGAATCCACAAACTCCACCAGAGGTTCCATTACACACGTGTTTACATCTAACAATCCCGCCTCGCGATGGATAAAAAGTCCAATAAGCTCTCTGGTGCGCCCATCTATGGATGGGCACGGCATGCTCATACGTTGACGTTCATAGACTCAACGGATCAATTCAGCTCTTTGGGAGATTCTATACACAGCTTATTGAATGAAGATAATTACCTCTTCGCATTCCCGTAACTTCTTCTGGGCACCCTCGAAGTCGTAGTTGACATACAGGCATTCCAGAAACTCAGTGATTGGATCCTTGTAAGTGTAGTGCTCCTGTTGGATAACTTTGATGAGATCCTTCAGCATGTTCCGTCTTCTTTTGTTAACGATGACCGCAGTAGCTAGGTACCGAAGCAGATGGTGCGCATTTGTCTGGATGGCATTTAGGTACCTGCGTGCAAAGCCCAAGTTTCGTGACCAAAAACCAACCGATTGTTTCCAATGCAATATGAAATATTCCTCGGAAAGAGGACTCCCGACCTACTCTCCAATTGCACGGCTCAACTACTATATGGGCATTCACCTTTCTTGGAAGAAAAGGTCGATGATGCCATTGCGCCCATTTTCGTGGTTGAAAAATATGAAAAGGGCCCAATGCATCACCCACGTCCGTTGCTGTAGTTGATTCAAAGGTGATGAGAAGTTCTTCGAATCAATGATTTCCTTCAAGCGATTGAGTTCCTCAATCGCAATATCCCAGTTTTGCATCAAAATTTCGGCTGCTAGCTTGCCCCACAATGCGCTAAAACTACGGTCACTGTTGGTGCAAAGCGTCCGATACTGGTAGAGATAGTCCGACGCACCAGAGTAATTACCACACTCAAACTGGAATTTCGCGTACTGGTACAGCGCTTCGATCTGTTCAGACCCTATCTGATGCCCAAAAATACCACCATCAGAATCAACCCCCTTCACCAACCAACGCCCAGCGCCCAACTGTGACATACTCGAAATAAGTCAAGGGCAGTGGAGACCAGCCCACCTTGTAGCGGTCGTGCAGCATTTGCAGGTTATACTGTTTGTCAGACCGCAGCTCCTGAACCAGCTGAGGATTTTGGAGAAAGCTGATGAGGGGGGCAGCCAATTCCTCAAGCGACTTCAACCTCCCCACGACTTCCACACGTCTATCCACCATTTCTGGATATTACATGGTTCTTACGATTTAGGTCTGAGGTGCTGCGAAAACACGAGCTGCGAAAAACTCAAAACCCAAAACCAGCCATTACTAACCTTGAGGTACATCCTCGGTGTGGTACAGACTCTTGTGAATGTCCATCGCGTAATCAACCATGTTCGTCTTGGCCAGAAGCTCGATCTTCGCCTTGAGAATCTGGTCGTCGGCATAGAGCTGCTTCTCTTGCAGAAATTCCAGCAGCGGAAACACAAGATGACGGTCCAAGTAGGGCGCCACCTTGGCAGTCAGATCATACTGCGCCATGGCTCCAATTTCAAGCTCGCCTGTTTCCACGATCTGACACAAACTCAAAAACGGTGGGTGGATAGAGAGACTGAATGTTCGCGGTTTCGACGTGCACCGATGAGATGGAGCTCGGGACTGGCGGATGCTGTCGTCGCAGATCTGCCGAGCAAAAGGCCTTCGGATTCGAACGCAGGAAACAAATGCTCCGGCCCCTGAGTCCCAAACCCTAAGCGTCTTCCTCCTCTACTCTGGTCGAGTCCTGCTGCTTTAGGGATAGACCCCTGACCACACATTCCGGCATTCCCGCCGTAAAGAAGTAACCGTACGCCGTAAATTTAACTTGTTCCTGTACAATGATTTATTTGAGCTAAGGCTACTTACGCATAGTGTTTGGGCGCAAGTTTTCTGTTTTATATTATATATTCTATTATTAGATTTGCATAACGTGAAGGCTTATTTCTTCCACTGACTCGAATTATTAATAAAAGACGAACTCTAGGATAAAAATCTCTTTTCAACTTTCAAAAACTGCATACTAAGAAATATGTGACAAAATGGATGGAGGACCCCACCAAGCCTTACAGTTGGAAATGAAATTACACGGGGTAGTAACACCTTCAAGGGAACGACTAAATAAGCGTAAACACTTCTATTAAATGATAACACTCGCTATTAAACATGTTAGTCCGAGTTTTCAATGTATTTCCGAAAAACGAACTGCTTATTCTTATTTGTGAGTACCCTGCCTCAGGCTGCCGTCGTTAGTTTCACAATTAGCGGGAGACTGCCGCAAAGTCGCACCGGTGCCGGGTCCGTGAATTCTGGGAGTCTTTAATTATCTGACGGTCCGGAAAATGTAATAAGAGTGCGATTTGACACTTTCTCGAATGAACTGAGAAGTTTTATTCACGATCGATGTCGCCTATCTGCTCGAGGGCGCGCGAGCGAAATCGAGCTTACCTCGTGCGATTGGTGATTGGTGTCTGCGGTCGGTGATGTGTCTGATCGTGAGAAATGAGCCAGTTTTCCGTCGTGACTATTCGGGGCTCAGAGCATGATCAGCGCGGCAGTAGCTGGGGGGAGTTTCTCCGTAGGAAAGCAGGAATTAGGCAAGCGAAATTGAGGAGGTAGTTCATGGATGTAAATGTGGAAGCAGGGATTGCTCTGTTTTCAAGGGATAGCTTCGTTACGTTGCTGTTTCAAGATTTGTCTGCAGAGCTTGTCGTAAACAAGAGAAATTTCGGTTGCACTCCAGGCTTCAGCGTTTAGGCAATGTGAGCCATTGTACGTCCGCGTTCTGAAGGTTCACTGCCAGAGTGTTCTCAAGAGGATGATGGTTGGAGAAGCTGCCAAGTTCGAGCAAGTTTCGGCAGAGATCTTGCCAGCCACTTGAGCTGTGGTTTAGATGGACTCGCCACTCCCTTTTACAAATGGGAAGGGCTCCTTATATTGTTGGTATTTGAGAACCACTGGAGAGCTCTGTATGTCAGTTCCTTCTCCACGGATTAGATGGCACCAACCTTGCCAAAAGGACACTGGTAACTCTGATGTTCGGAACTTTAATGGCTTGAAATTGCAAATTGGAGAGAGTTCATCAGACGTGCCACAACAGCAATCAAGTGTACGTGCAGTGCTGTGGCTTGAAATCTTCAATGGCCAATCGACTGAAACTTAAGAGCTGTGGCAATCCTACCTCCAGAGCCCTCAGTAGACACCGCTTTTAAAGACCCAGAATATAGCGCTCAGGAGCTGGACAAACCTTGAACTGACGATCAGGACCAAGATGCGTGATACTCTCGCAACTTTCATCCTCATCGCTATACACTCCAATTTTGGAGAAAAGAGTGCACTTACCTCCAAGGCCATGTCCATCGTTGTTTTATTCAACCGACTAATCCATCCGTAGTGATAGAAAAACCCCTACACTGAAATCAACAAGTCAAATGGGTCTGTCCAAGGCTGCCGCATAATATCTTCATAGAGGTGAATCCAAGTCTGAGGATACTCCGGGTATGTAAGATGCCAATTCTTTAGCGGCCAGGGCTTTGTGACAAGACCGTCTGTCCAGTACCTCTGGTAGCTCGACTTCATCTCCAGCTTCACAGCTTGCTCACCAAAAAGAGGCCACTATCTGCCCAGAAGTGCAATATAGTCTCACCAGATGCGCTCGCGCTGCAAAACCAAGTGATGTCCAAACGCTGTCAATCGAATCTGAAGACTGTCAAGGAACAAAATGTCCCCCTTCAGACTTTCACGTAGTCAGCTCCAAATCAGCTTCTTAGAGACAATTGTTCAGGTGAGCCTGCTTCAGTTCTTCATGAGTCCATATTCAAGATCAGTCTGCAAAGGATGCCATAATGCAGATGTGAATAGCTTGACTAGATGCTCGAGATCATGGTAACACGTTTCGCTTATCATACATGATAATTGGAATTACAAACTCCTGGGGATCTAGGTTGAATGATTTATCACTTCCATGTGTCCTACTCATGGAATCTTCAAATACAGAGGTTAATGGTTTCCAAAGCACTCCACAACTGATGAATCAACTAGTATTGATTTCAGTCTTGAACAAGTATGATGTCTGATGTGATGTGACGAGCAATAATGTAAGTATAATTGCACTGTGGAAAATTTGAAGATCCAAAAAAAGTCGAGTGGAAGTGAACGTTGGTGGATAGTTCAATCCAAAATTTCAGAAAGGTAAATTAAATTCGTGTCAAGCTTTCGATTATGAATCTATAGTATATTAGCAAGACAATTATCTACTATCGATATTCAGAATGTTAAATTTTCATAAATTTTTACCATCCTATTATCCATAAATGGTTAATGTAGTAATATAAGCTGTCACGTTAAAATTTCAGACAGATATGCAAATATTTCATATTCTCTCCACTTAAAAACTATCAGATCCATCATAACACTCAGTAGATTATTATACTATTTAAAAAAACACGATCTTACATCTAAGTTGATCAGTTTATAGCTAAGCTACGAAGCGCTAATGTTCACAAGTTGATTACTTGGAATAATTTATGCCATTCATATTAAGTAATAAAATATAATTATAAGCCAGATGATTATCATCTATCAGACCTTCTACAACTATTATTAAACTGAGGTTTTTGTGGATTATATTTATTTATCTCGTGAGAGTTAAACTTTTGGCGAGTGCTTCCTTCCAATTATCATCACTAACATATTTTAGTTATGTGAATATAATAACCATAACATATTCATACATGTGTAAAGAGAGGATGAACTTTTAGGAACTGAGAAAGATGTTTCAAATTTTGATACGAAGGTATTCATTTCATTATTTATAGTTTTCGAAGAAACTACATTTCAGCTTTTGTAACTATTTACGCCACCTTCGGAGTTTACATGATTGACATCTTAAAAATTTCTCTGATTCTAAAACTATCATTGCTTTGGAAACTTAAATAATAATGAAAATCAGAAATAATGATATAATTTCGACTCCAATGTTAATATAGAAGTGTTGACATGGCATCCCCGTCCTATTTGACTCGAATTTCTTCATTTTGATCATAGTATCAGAATAAACTTTGAGAGATTGTTCTTAATACGAACGTCGAATAGCAGTGTGAGATTTTTTCCCCAAAAGACATTGTACAATCACACAAATACCAATATTAAGCTTTGAAGAAACAATCGACGTGCTTGAGTCTAAACAGCCATTTCCCACATTTCTCGAGTCTTTTGGCCTTTGTCTCATTTTCCCCTTTTTAATGGACATAATTTTAATTTCACAGTCGATTTCTCAGGCATCTGAGGCCCATTTACGGCCGCCGCAATGTACTTCCGGCAAGCAATATCTTCAGATACGGCTCTCCGCATTTGAAAAGAAATTTTGAAGTGAGGGAATCTCGGCGCGTTATTGCTGGATTGAGAAACTTGAGTCCCAGGAGGGCCACAACGTTCTTACGTCTCCCGCTTGGAGGATTCCACTTGGTCGACGAGAGCAGAGGAGAGGAGAGGATTCGAACGTGGGTTTGAAATTTCGAATGACAGGAAATGCCCTAGAGCCCGAGAAAATCGTCGTGTCCGAATTCTCGGGCCCGGCTGATTCGCGTGCACTCCGGCCCCGATCCGAGTCGTGGTGCTTGAGTCATTCGCAATTCTGAGTGCAGAGCAATTCTGACCTCGCGTGATTCGATGCGTGGTGGCAGTGACGGAATCTGAGCGTTCCACGTTTGCTTCGAAGCATCCGATGCTCGGGATTGCGATTGCCAAGCTCTCCGTGGGCGATACGGTTCGAGAATGACATCAATCGGAGTTCGAGGATCTTGAATAAAGTGCGTCCAGAAATGATGGATTTTCTCGAAGGTGGATGAAATGTGGAGTTATCCGGTGAATGCTTTCCGATACGAATTGAGGATCGCATGTCCTTCGCCTCCCTACTGTCACAGGGCGCGGATGGAGGAGCTTCGTCGGGTTTTCTCGACTCTTATAAGTCCAATCTGTAATCCGGAGACATGACCGGCGAACTCTGCAGAGTGTGGATTTTACTGAAGGTGCTGGAGGTGGTGAATGGTGGAGGAAGTTGATCGGAGGCATCGTCATCTTGAGCTAGAGAAAGCGCGAAAAACATGGCAGGAGCTCCCAGCCGTTTCGTTCTGACCCCTCATAAGCTGGTAATGTGCATTTTGCTGAATGCTGTGGCAGCCCCCCGTCAGGGCTCGACATCTCTCGTAGCCCTTCCATTGTCGTCACGCCACCGGTTAGCTCGACTCCTGCTCGACTTCGTCAAGGCTTCTGCGAGTCTTCTGGAACCGACGTATGAAGAACTCGAGCACAGTCTCGAGAAAGCTCTGGGGACGGAAAGTGGGTTCTCCGAGGAGCTTCACAGTTTGTTGAAGTCATTCGCCACACCCGAAGACTTGTTCAACTTGTTTTTGAGTCTGCGAGAACTTTTGGCATCTTCCCCTCGCCCGAACCTGATCACTAGCCGAGGTGATGGTGACCAGCTCTCAGTGGATTTGAGCAGTACTTTGGGCCTCTTCCTTCGTCGATGCAGTTTGTCATTCAACGAACTTTCGTTCGAGCAGGTCTGCAGACTGTTAAGGGAGCTCAAGCATTACCGTGAGTTGTCAGACACAGTGAAGAGCAGTGCCCCTCCCGATTCCACCTTAGTAAGGTACTTTCAACAGCATCAATTTCTGGATGAAGGTATCAAGGAAGAGACGAGCTCTTCTGCGAAGCTGGGACTCGGCGGGAATACGAGAGGCTTATTCGGAGGCCTACGCGAAAGTGTGGGCGGGGACATCTTTGAAGCTAGGCAGTCTTCAGGTTTGGCCAACAGAGATGGAGCATCAACCGGGATCCGCAGTGCGACTCCATCTGGGGAGACTACAAGCAAGCGACACTTCTTGCGCACTTCTGGGGAGGTAGAGGCCTATCTTAGTGAGCAAGCTGTGATTCTCGAGACGAAGAGGAGCTTCGAAAAGGACTTTACGGATGGTCTTGTCACAAGGCTGTCTGAGCTGAAAGAATTGGCCTCCCACATACCTCAAGTGCACTATGTTCAGTATTTGAATTACCTCTTCCAAAAGGATTACCCGGCAGCCATGGAAAGTCTTCATCGATTCTTCGATTTTAGTGCAGGAGAAGTATTTATCCCTGGCAGTGTCACACAGTATGAGTCTGGTATCGGGAGGCTCCAAGCGGGGTTGCTGGGCCTGGGACATATGCATTCACATATGGGTCATATCACCATGGCATTGCAGGCACTGAATGAGTCGATTCTCATAGCTCAACAAAACAACGATAACCATTGCCTTTTACACGCCCTTGCAGCTCTGTGCAATCTTTTCTCCGAAGTTGGAGTGTATACTGATGACGATGAAAGATGCAAGTGGATCACTCATCCTGGTCTTGATCCCGAGTACAAGTTCTATCCAGCTCCTGAGCAACATTTTGTGGGTCTTCTAAAGCGTTGTCTGCGCAGGGCTCTGGAGTTAAGATTGCCACAGCTTATAGGTTTCAGTCGGTTGGCCATTGCTAAGATCAAGCTACAGCACGTACACAAGATTGCTGTCGTGGCCCGTATGAGGAACTCCCTCCAATTTGGGACTTCACCTTTAGAAGTCTGTAAGATTCTTCGAGTTAACCAGTGCTCTCTCGGTAACGTTGATAGTAATGGCTTCCGGATGAGTCCGTCTACTCCACATGGGAGGAATTCACATGCAGATCTTACCAGTGTCGGTCAAGTACCAGCAATCTCAGGAGCCCTTTCCGTCACCAGCTGGGGTTGGTGGAAACCACAGCTCAAGTGGCTGGCAAGATCTATGCTGAAACTTGGTGGCACTTCGCAACTTCTCCGAGCTTCCTCGTGGGAACACTATGGCAGTGAACCTTTAGTACGAGCAAGTACATTGGTTCACATTGCTTGCTACGCCGATGCCTCAAGTGCAGATGATCTTTCTCTTGCTTATATCAAGTTAGTCAAATTGCAAACAAACCTCAGAGGATACTCTGCGGGCTGTGACTCTCTTGTTACAGCAGCGAAGAGATTCCCTCTCCTATCTAAATCAAGAGTTCGAGCACTGGAGCTGCAATGCACTGTGGAGAGGGCGCTGTATCAAGGGGAGACAGAGGTAGCTCAAGTGGCTAATGGGGAACTTTTAGCTCTTGCCTCCATTGTGTCAGGTGTGGATATGGGCATCAAAATACAAGCTAGTGTTTATAAAGCTCAAATACAGCTAGCGGTGTGCCAGTACAAGGAAGCAGCAATATCAACTAACCGACTATTTTCCTTGTGCTTCAAGGGGAATATGCAGCAGGATAGCATTAACTTGCTACTGCTTATGGCAGATATTTATAAGAAGGCTGGAAATGCAGTCACGGGTCTTCCTTATGTTTTGGCAGGTCTTACACTCTGCCAGTCCTTGAATCTTGACCTGCTTCAGGCTTCTGCAATGGTAACTCTAGCAGAACTTTGGATTGGATTGGGCATGTTTCCTGGAAGACGTGGCCTTGTTCTTCTGCAGCAGTGTATGCCTGTAGTTCTCGGGCACGGAAGTCTCGAACTTCGTGCTCGAGCCAACTTTGCCGTTGCACAATGCTACTTAAGTGATCCAGGCTTCTCAGTAAAGAAAGAACCTAGAGTTGTGTTGCAACCTTTGCAGGCTGCTGTATCACAGGCCCAGCAGATAGAGCACACAGAGCTTACTATGGAGTCATTGTACCTCCATGCTGTTGTGCTCGATTCCTTGGGCTTGATTGATGAACGAGATCAAGCCGCTGCGGCCTACCAGAGGTGTGTAATGGGTATGCAGGTGCGGTAAAACTTAGATTCCAGTCACTTCTTGTACTATATATTTTTCTACCCCTTACAGGGGTACATGATTGAGTCGTGAAAAGAAGAGTGCGTGAAATTTTTGCCAACGCCAGTGTACATTTTCTTCCTCTCATCGACCTGCTGTAGAGTTCCTCCGTGACAGGCTGGCTGTTTGTCGTGCAAGTTGGTTTAGTTGATCGAATAATGTCTGTTTACTAAGCGGGTGAGTTCCACCTCCAGAATGGGCCACTTCAGCAACACCAGTCAACTCCTTAACTTTGAGATACTACTCGACAATCACTCTTGACAGCCTATATGCTTTATATGGTTTGAGTTCATGCATCGGAAAGGTCTGTACCAAGTAGACAACTTTGGATGAATATTGTACATCTTTTTCTTCTAGGTCGTGACCTTGTATATATACGGATATATTGCTTTCAACTTTTAAACTGACACGAACTTCGATCGTTGTTGACAATCGATTATAATGTTTTGCATCGGCAGAATTACGTAAAATCAGGATCGAACTTCATCAGTTTTCCCTCACTTTCTGGAGGCAAATCCACCGAATTCATTTGCATTGGGAATTTTATTCTTTTATTACGCTCTCGCAACGAAGAGGAAAACAAGAAAATTCTTGAGTCAGCAAATTTAATTATGCACCTCTTTAGGCACTGGAGAACAAGAAGAAACTTTGACCAGTTGGAATGTAGTAAAATATTGGATTTAACAAGCTTTGCCGATACTCTTAAGCCTACAGAGCAGGACAGTGACGAAAGAAAAGCACAAGAAGTAAAATTTCATTAGATCTTTAGTTAAATTTTGCTACACATGAGATGCTTTGCATATTTTGGGTCCCAAGGATAGAGAAAAGATAGTGAAACCCCATGAAATAATAAGAGGAGAAAACCAGACCAGATCCAAGGGTTAAGCACCGAGAATGTAGACGTCGAAAGATTTCACTGTACCATCTATAAGATTTAAACGAAGATGGTTAGAAACAACTAAAGCATTTGATATCATGTCTGTTTAAAATGATGATTATTTTGTAGTGTTCTGTATAAGTCTCTTGAAGCTTATTTCGATTGAAGTAGAATATACAATTATCCAAGAATAAATACTTGTTTATTCTTTTATCAGTCTGATAAATCAACATATCAAGTAATACTCAGTTTTAAAAATGTAATAACAAAGTGAAAATTTTGGATTAATCAATATAATTCGATAATTAAATTGCAGTTGCAATGTAGTCACGATTTTTGAGTACTTCACAAGTAAACTTCGTCTGCAATTTTATGTTAATTCTTGCAATACTTGAGTTTTAGCGAAACCGAAAGTGCCATCATACTTTTCATAGAAAAAAAGGTGACAACTCAGTTTCAAAATTGTAATTAAATAGCAGAAGAAGTCACAAAGACATTTAGAAAAATCTATGAGACTAACCCATAAAAAGAAATGTATATCCCACGTACTTGAAAACCCCAAAAAAACAATGTCCGGTTGTGAGATTTCGAATACTTTGGATTTAAGTATGTAAGGTGATTTTCTTTTTAAATTCCAAGATGCATAACTGTGTGGAGACCCAAAGCAATGAGACTCAAATCTTATACCGTCGTCTTTTTTAAACTTAGAAGTTTTTTGAGGTATAAGAGGTATAAGGAGAGTAAGTGCAGAACTAAAAACGTAATAAATTTTTTGTAAAATTGTAACTCCTACACAAGCGATATCACACTGGTTCCACCAGCAGAGCAATTTCGAATAGCCTCTTTAGCCAATTCTCAAGTTTCCGTACGAAGCTCTACATTAAAATTCACTCACACTACTGTGCTTTACAAAAGTGCTATTGAACGCAATCGGAATAGGTCAATTTCCTTACGCAGAGTATCTACGAGGAACTTGACTGAAGAACTTATTTTCTCTCATTGCTCAAGTAACCATTGAGTCAAACATGGACACGAAGACCTTGGAAAATAGGACACCCACATCCGTTGCCAAAGTGCTCCAAATTCCATCCATTCTGTTTTTCTCCGGACATTTTTTGATTTACGGACCTGAAACTTCCCAAACGAGTTTTTATATGTTATTTTAAATCTCACAAACTCTGCCTCAATTAACAGGGAGTTTGATTTTTAGTTTCTTTCTGGTCAGATCAACTGGCATTCTCTACCAAATTTGCATGCAATGATCTAAAATCCCTTCATGATCTACAAACTTCTCATCTTCATTTTATAAGCAATAACGTAAGAGAACATAGAATTGCAGACGATTTCAGATTACATACAGCAAGGTCTCTCAAAATCATTTTTTGGATGTTTACGAGAATATTAAATTGGACTTGATAGCTTTATCAGAAATATTATGAAAATTGATAATGCTATCAATCGAGCCGTAAATCGGAGTCAGGGGAGGATGGTCAGCGAGGGGACGAAATCGTGCAAGGAAACGAGAATCGTCTGAACGCTGCGGGCCTTCGGATCTAGGGCATCGTGGCGCAGAATCGAGGGCTGGCCCGACGATCTGGGGCATTAGGGTTTAGAGAAGCAAGTGCGGGGTGTCACAGTGTTCGCTGTGGAGGGGGTTTTGTCGAACTCCGATCGCTGGGAGCAGTCTTTCAATCTCCAAGTAGCTTACCGAGCATGCTCGTGGAGACGAGCAGTGTACAGACTGGAAAGGTGTGATATGTTCTGAAATTCGGAGGTGGAAATCTGCACGGCGGGCGTTCGGCAGTAGCGCTAGCTTCGATTGTTCGCGCGACATCCGTTAAGTCAAAATGCCGCCCAAACTAGATCCGTCCCAGGTCGTGGAGGTGTATGTCCGAGTGACAGGAGGAGAGGTCGGAGCTGCCTCTTCTTTGGCTCCCAAGATCGGACCTCTCGGTCTTTCCCCGAAGAAAATCGGAGAGGATATCGCTAAGGAGACAGCGAAGGACTGGAAGGGTTTGAGGGTGACTGTGAAGCTCACAGTCCAGAACAGGCAAGCTAAGGTTGCTGTTGTGCCATCTGCCGCAGCGTTGGTGATCAAGGCCCTGAAGGAGCCAGAGAGGGACCGCAAGAAGGTGAAGAACATTAAGCACAGCGGCAACATCTCCTTGGATGATGTCATCGAAATTGCCAAGATCATGGCTCCCCGCTCGATGGCCAAGACCCTGGCCGGTACAGTAAAGGAGATTTTGGGAACATGTGTATCAGTAGGATGCACCGTAGACGGCAAAGACCCCAAGGATTTACAGAAGGAGATAGATGAAGGCGAAGTGGAGATTCCCGAAGAGTAAATAGTGAGTATAGCTGCTTCCAGTGAGCTCGCCCGCTCTCGGTGAGATATTTGCCTGAAATCAATTGTGTGTCGCACTGCTGTAATGAGCACGACGCAATCTATTCAATTGGAAACTTATGTATCTCAACTGACGTGCAATGTGAGGCCGCCCATTGTCTCACGAACGAAAATTTTGACCCTGATAACGGCCAATTCTTTGATTCTGCACTTTCTGAATTACTTCCCGTTTTTCCGGTACGGAAAAACCTACGACTTATGTTGGTGGATTCATTTAGTCAATAGTTTGAAGCATTTCCGTCTGTTTTCTATTTTTTACAATCCTGAAGGAAAGCAGATCCGAAATGTAAGGTGCCATTGGATGCCGCACGAACAATCGATATACGAGAATACTCTGGGAATGTTGCATTTCCTTCCACACCGAAAATGTTTGCTAGAATTCTTAGCATATTGTTGATGTGACCATCAGCCGCGGACAGGCAAGCTGAATGTTTGGACTAGTGCACCCTTGTTACAGTAACTGTCTCGTATCGACTAATTCTTCTGTCTGTAAATTCCAAGTCAGTGCGAGAAGGTGTCGAACTCTAGAAGATCCAGTTTAGGGTTATGACAGAGCCCTAATTGACTACCCGAAGTATCCACGTTCAGTAACCGGTTTGATACGTCCTTTCCTGCCGCCGTATCATTGTCGACCAGTTTACGTAGTGCATTGGCTTTTGCTTCGGCTTTGCGAGTCGTGTTGCTCCTAGTCGTGTCACGAGATACAAGCAACAATCTTTGTCCTCAGTTCCACCCAGTTCAGGTTAATATTTGTCTCGAACAAATTGTGCAACTGATCGAGTTCGGAAGAACTAATCGAGGTACATCATAGGAAACTATTCAGATCCTGGTATTCTCTTGAAGAGATTGTTCCAGTCTTTGTCTGCACTCTGACCTCCAAAGTAAACAGTTTCTGCTAGTTTGAATAATTCACTCCTGCCCGTGTCTCTGCTGTTGGAGTCCAAAAGGCTGTTCCACCCCCTTCTGAATGTTCTGGTCGTGCCGAATGTTTGGTTAGGGCACTCCAATTGTGAGACCTCTGTGTATTATTTTAGCTCTCTCCGATCTATTGTTGAACTTCTAAATTACTCAAACGCAAGCTGTGTTCTTATGTGTAGGAATATCGTAACGTGATCTCATGAGTTGAAGTTTTAAGATTAATTCTAGGAATTGACTGTTTGACTCATTGAATGACGAGAAGAAATTGACAGTGAAGGAGTTCAGGAGCATTATCAGTAGTTTATCAGAAGTTTATCGTGAAATTGACGCACTCGCCCATGCCATGATGTCTTCCGTTGAGGGCACCGCTGGTCTCATTGATGGTCTCGATGGGAGAGGAGTGCTCGAATACTTGGCTGGCTCAACACGTGAGTGCATTCGAAGAAACTGCAACTATTGATATTTGACAGCGGTAGCAAAACGAGACAAACGTGAGAAAATGAGGAAAATGCTCGTTACTGATGAGGAAAACGTGACAAGGTTGTTAACAGTGAGGACGTGTTAACCGTAAGCTCGAAATTTGGATTTCATTACATATTGTAGTTGGACGTCGCAGGTGATGCAAGTTGCATGATGCAACTGCAATGTATCATTCTCAGTTGCATCATGCATCTGAATGTAGCATTCTCAGTTTGTCGAAGCACTGACACAGTTACACCTATCACTTGAGACTACGAAGATTGCATGTAAAAAAACACATTCTTGGAATATGAACCAACTACATTGTGCAGTGTTAAACTTTCCCGCTTGGGAAATAATAAGTCCTGAAATATAGTCGTAGCATTGTGTAAGTACGACGTTAGTAACATTAACGTGTATATCCTAGTGATACGTCTTACCAGCTGTAATATGCCACCATCAGCATGTAACCCTCCTCACAATTTTAGACTTGAGAATCTGTTTAAACTCCTGTAAACCTTCGAATTGGCAAACATCAACGTAATTACTCCCAAACTGTTCTCCATGAGATTTCTCTGAACAAAAAATAACATAGATGTGTCACGGCAAATAATCACATCACTAGAACATGAACATACATTAACAGGTAAAGTATGCAAACGTAAATTGATAAGCTCTAAAAAGTTAAAAGATTTCGAACTACAGTTGGTACTACTGTTCTATGAGATAGCAGTAAAACTAGAGCTGATAGTAGTAAAACCACTTGTAATTTGGAATAAGATATGTACAACTAAAACTTTTAAACTTACCAAACATTTGTTCATGTATGTGATTTGTTCAGTGATGCAATGAGATATTTGCTTGATGTAATCTGTGCCAATCGTAAATTGTTTGATGGGACCCATAAAACTTCAGTTAGCCAATAGTACCCCACCGACGGTACACATCACACTATTTTACTATGATAAGAAGACGGTGCGTGAGTCACACTTTGTGTTAACCTCGGCACATGATACTTCGTTTGCATCGCATCGCTGCGTAGAGTCTGGCCCTGCTGAACCACTTTCTTCGCCGTTTGCATCGCATCGCTGCGTAGAGTCTGGCCCTGCTGAACCATTTTCTTCGGAAGAAATGGCACATTAACGTGGGGAAGATGAAAAAATAGCCCGTTGCTAGGGTAAGGAGTATGAGGTTCAATTTTTATGCTTACTAGATCGCGGTGATCGATCGCTGCCTTCTTAATAATTTAGGTTTCCAACGAGTAATACAAAGCCCTTGACTAGCAAGAACACTTTATGTCTCAATACTCTAATCCTGAACTTTAATCATTCTAATCTATACGAGTATTTGGAATCTAGACGACAGAAGTAAAATTATGAGCATTGAAAAGAAATGCGAAGACACTTGTCTTCGACCTAGCCCAATAAACAATTCAATTCAGATTGATCGACTAGTGTGTGCAGAAGATCTAATTCGATGAAGATAGTAACTAAACTTTGAGGATTCATCCGCTCTTCACGTCGTGCTAATCTTATATACGAACAAGTTGTGCACATCCTCGATGTGTTAGACTACAGCCAACGCATATCAGTTTAGGTTTGGGCACCCACTTCTATTCAACTCGAGATCCCAAAGCGTGGATGTATTAGATCTTATATGTACAAGAACATATCCATACTAGAACTACTACTAAAACTCAGTGACAACACACCGTACGTGGTGTACCATCAGGTTAATTGAAACTTGATGGGTCACATCAAGCAATTTACGTTTGGATGTGGTGCCATCAAACAAATACCTCGGTTTAGTAATTAGATCCAACACTTATGATACCACCCAACAATTACAATTCTACAATATCACTATGGATCTTTCGTCAAGAAATATTCATTGAATAATAGTCTAGATGAAGAAGAACATTGCAAACATGTTATGCAAACATTTCAGCTAAGAAAAATCAACAGTTATCTATTTACATTAAATGTATCTATGTAAGTTGTGAAGACTAAAGTGATCAAATATTGCACATGCAAATTGATTTGTATTATTTGAAAAAATTAATATGAAATTCAAAAAAAAATTATTTTTATGTTCAAAAAAACGTGAAAACAGACAAATTATATGTGTGATAAATCCAAAAAATTTATGGCTTAAAATAATCTAAGTTTGATTATACATTGTTAAGATGAACTATCAAATGAAAAATTAAATTTATAAAACTAAATTTCTATACATTTACATTTGATATTAAAAACATATAGGACAGATTCTGATTTCAAAATTTCTTTTTATTGTTATGTGTCAATGGATATCATCAAAGTATGTTTGGTTATTTATTTTAAATATTTTCATGATCTTTCATCTTTTGATGTTTAATCCAATGACTTTGGTTTTAAATCTTCATAAACACCAAAGTCCATTTAATCACTTGTAATCAAAATCTATGATTGCCATTTATATGAATTGAAGAAAATTAATATATGCTATAATTAATACATTTTAGATTTCATATGAGTATTTCATGTTTTAAAGAATCTTCAATATCATGAACGAATTAATTTGTAATCTAAATGTGGATTTATTTTGTTATCAATGTTCGATAAACTAATACATAATATGATAATAATAATAATAATAATAAATATTAAAAATTTATTTGATGCATAAGATGTACCAAAAAAATGAGAGAAAGAAATGTAATTTGAAATATTTTGTGGAATTATGATATATATCTCAGAAATATAAGTTTCATTCAGCTCTCACTCAATGATGATACAAAAGACATTGAATCGCGTCAATGTTTCTTCATTATCACAATTCACACTGATGATTTAAGAAATAAAACTTCTTTTTTTTTTGAAAAAAACTATAAATCTAGGATTAAACTATGTCTAAATTTTAGAATAAGTTTATCCTATCAAGTTTGATGACTTTACGGGATCATGATATAATATTGATTTCATCTATTTGCACTTGATTAATAATAGATTGCTACAAGCCTGGTGCGTGAGGGGTTTATCACTTTTGAAATGGTCTTGGGTATGTACTCCAATGTGTAAGCTACCGTTTTTGTGTAGATAGGAAATATTGGAGGTATCTAAACAATGATAAAAAAATTTTGCTGCATGTAGAATTTTTTGTACTTTTTGTTCAGGAAATAGAAAGTTTTTGCAGAACTACAAATTTTGCTATAGAGTTAAGGATGAAACCCGTTTGTAAAAATATCAATATCAAACCACCTATCACGGATTTCCACTCAAAGTGATCCTGGTCAGGGCCATGAAACTCCAGTTGATAGTCGTTGACCACATGACGACGCAAGCCGTTGATAAATGGTGGCCATATAGACACCCAAGTATTTTTATTTTTTTTGGAGTGGAGGAGAATCAAAGAAAGCAATTATCAAAACCAAGGCCAATAAAGTATAGTCTAGACCCGGTGACGTCTCCCGCGCTGGATTGTGTCTTTTATGAAGACATTTACAATATAGACAACGTTAGGGCTAGCTATTTTAATGACCACTTAAAAAACTTTATCGACAAACCCAGTTTATGCGCGGCTAATGTAGCAGCTTGTTGAGCATTTGCCAAACTAACACAATCCAATTCATATAAGATTTGTCCCTTAGGATGGAGCAATCCAACCTTAGACAACCTTTTGGTATTTCGCTTGCCCTTTCCCATTGGCACTTCAGGGGTTGCTCCGGTTTTTGAACGATTTCAGAGTTTATACTTATCGTCTTGCAGAGTTCGAGCATCATTGGCACGTCTATTGGAAGAATTAGCGCAAGAAGATAGACACACATATTTCTATTTCCTAAAAAAAAAACATGCAACATAACTAAATATAACTTATTTTTAGATCATCATGAGAGATTAGGAGATTACATGGAATTGTCCGTTTTTAAAAAGGACCGTAACCTAAACAGATTTGTACTGTAATGGAACTCTATGCGAAGTCCAGTTTCATGGACTCGTACATAGATAAGGGGTTTGTTGAAACCCATGCTTTGTAGCGATCTGGAGTTAAATTAATGGATATAAGGAATCTCCTGCAGGTTTTTCTCCTTATATCCATGAAGGAGAAAAGCCTGCAGCAACCTGCTTGCATGGGATTTAAAGCATCTTTTCTCACTGTCAACACTGGAATTTTTTTTCTCTGAGTTATGATGTCTATTAGAAGATTTTAACTTTATCTGTACACATGCTTTATTGCAGACGTAAACAACTTCTGGGAACGGGGACTAGGTTTCAAGAGAAATGTTCGACGCAGGCAATTACAGAAGTGGTCTATCTCGAACTCCCCGATTGTTCAATGAAAGTCAATACAAAACGATATCATTTCTTATAACCACTTTTGTGTACAGGGGGGAAATTATTTTGGATCACATTATTTAGCATTTCTGACAAAGAAATTTCGTGCGGGAGACTAACCAGTCGAACAGTCGATATAAGAAAAAACCTCCGAACACGCGCACATGCGAGAGCTGACGGGGCAGGGCCGAGGAAGGACTCGCCTTCCCTTCCCTTCCCTCCCCTTCCCCAAAGTACGCTCCAGCTCCGACCTGGTGACGTGGTCAAACGAGAAGGAGATCAACGGATGAATGACAGAACGACACGTGGGAGACGTCCTCCACCGTCACTCGGAAGGCAACCGATCCGCAGTTCCGTCCAGCGCCATCCGCCGCCGAATCCCCTGCCGCGTCACCAAAGAAGCAGCAGCAGATGATCGTGGTGGTTCCGAAACATCAGTTCCTCCCCCCCTCAAGCCCCCGACTCCGATGTATTCATCCGTGCGAGGTTTGAGGAAGAAGGAAGCGAAAGGAAGAAGCGAAGGGAAGTGCAGCGGAAAGGAATGGAAAGGGATGGGCTCAAAGCTTTTAGCTTAGCTTAGCGTTGTTGGCTTGATCGTCACGCCACCCGGCCAGCGACCCGCGCATCCGTAAGCGAGCTCGCCAAGAGGAGCTCTAGGGCGTAGGAGGGGGCCGTCCTCCGTGCCTTTCTCTCTTGACGACGAGCTGCAGCGCTGATCTCAGTGTTGGCGAACGAGCGAGCAATTCCGGGGCTTGGCACGGCTCGTCTCGTCTTACCGAGGAGAGGAAAGTAAGGGAAGGGAAGGGAAAGGCGAGGTGGAATTGGTGCTGGGAGGGTCGAGACCTGGTGGATTGATTTGGTCTCGAGAATTGAAGAGAACAGCGGGAGGACGGAGGTTTTGGAGTTTTGTTGTAGTGTTTATAATTGTATGAGAGGGTGCGCAAAGTTGGTTCTATTCTGGCGGAATTTCGTCTAAACCTCCATGTCAACGCCAAGGTCGGCTGCTGTGGCACGCCGATTTCGACGTCCACTGCAGGTACGGGCTCCTGATGTTTTTATGTGCTTCATGTGAAGCGAATTCGCGTGGTTCGTATGTCTGTTTTCGACGGGCAGGCGTGTGATTTTGTTCTCTGCGGGATCCGGGATCCGATTTCGTTCCCTTGCAGAGATGTCAGTGACTTATAATTTGTGCGGATTTTGCGATTTGCCGTGGCGATGGAAGAAAGAAGTTCACAGTTCAACGGGAAGTCCGTATTTAGGGTTTAGGCTTGGGGGTTAGTGAGATCAGTTGATCGTGAAACAGAAAGAGAATCCACGGTATATTTGATCGAAGATTATTGCGCTATGCTACTTGTCGTGGATACATGAAATTCCTGCTTGAATTTAGATAGAACATCACGTTTCGTCGTCAAGCCTTTTTTTCCCGATGGATCGTGCTTGTGGATCACCCGGTTGGGTTTAAGAAACAATCGAATGAATGTACTTGGAAATATGAAAGCTGAAAGGACGCATCAATAACGGGCTCTTTTTCAAGTAAACCTGAGACAACTAATGGCTCCCGGTTTTAGTTGTCAGTCTTGACATCGACCTCTAGAAATATGTATAGTTTCGGCAGCAGGTCGGCCTTGATGCATGGATGACTTTTGGTGAAGACTCACGGTTTCACCACAAGACGTCATTCCTTTCTTGGATGGATGAGATGTCATTACAGAGATGGATGATAGTTCTTACACCTTCGGTGTAGTGTGAAAGTCCACACGATGGCTGGGTTGGATGTATGTAGCTGCTCGGATGGACATAGTTGAGCCTCCGAACTGGATTTGAGGCTTTATCATTGAACGGAAGTTGACAGTATATTTACCCGGATCTTCTTGCAATTATATGTCTGGGTGCACAGACCATGAAAGTAGTTTTTATTGGAGTTTTAATGGATGTAATCGACCTTCGTCGATTACAAATATCTGGCTAACAAATAATGGGTGCCGTTAATTAATATTGAATACATTGTGAATGAGTCACTTTGATATTTTTTTGGGGGGAATATCTGGAATTCATGGGAATTGACATTTCTTCTCCCCTCGATAGAAATTATGAACTTCTTCTTGGCTACCTTTTTTGGTTTGGCAATATGTTGCTGTTTCGGACTCATGTCTTTCAGTGACAAACTTTGAAGACTCACTCTTGTTATGTTCGACCCTGATCTGCATGTTCCAGGAGGCTTTTGCTCGCTCGAAGCAACCCCAAATATTGCCGGAGTCAAGTAAAGGATTTACTTCGTCAACTCCGTATAACCAAGTTCAGAGTTGTACCAGGCGATGGTTCCACAGCGAAGGATTGGTCAGGCCAAGTAAGGTTCATGGACGTAGCAGTTTGCCTGCACTGGTTCCCGGATCTGGATTGTCAAGATTGGTGAGTCATGAGCTGGCACGGAGGCCCACATCGAGTTTGGCCACATTACCAAAGTTCAGAGCATTAGCAAGGACCCCTGCCACGAGAAGAGCATTCTGCAGTGAAGCTCCGAAGAAAAGAGGTGCATTTACATCGTTCGAACTCCTTCGTCCTTGGTTTCTGTGGTATGATAAGCTGTTTTGAACATAAGCACCCAATTCAATCCTTCTGTGCTCAATATCTTTACTGGCAGTTTCAATAGGCGAGCCAGGGGTGGCTCTTCTATCGACCTTTCTTTCCACGCTCAAGCCTGGCATTTCAATCTAGGTCTCATATGTTTGAACGATACGTTGGTCACGTCTATCAGGTTATGAAAACTACTACCCTAAGGATAAGAAGGAGATACCGAAACGCAGCGAGAAAGAGTCAAAGAATGGTATGCTCTTTTAAAATCCCCTGTTCTAGTTTAGATATGTTTCTGGCATCCAGTGTTCAATGCACCTATTGTATGTAGTTCATCATATCTTGCTTTTCTTATATTGCTCTGATCACACTTGGGGTTCAGAAGTGAGATCTCAGGGCCTTGTGTGGTATCTCGCGTAATGGAGGTCGATATAGGGCAAATTGAGTTCAACAAAAGTACCGGCTTTTTTGACGTGTCAAAGTCTCTATGGCTTATACTGTTCCTTTGATTTTGTGCAGAGGACCACAAAGCTGACGATCCTAAGGCCTTTACTGATGTTCCAAAGGTGCAAATTCAGTCGTTGATTCTCACCGGGCTTCTGGGCACCATTGCCCTTGCTACTCTTTCCTTGCGTCGAAGCGATGCTCAACAGGTATTACTCTTCTTCATTCACTGGCGTGAAACTATATATTTTAGGATGGTGCGTACAAACAATGTGAAACAATGGTGCGTGAAACGATGTATTTTGGGGTGGTGGAAGAGAGTCAGCTCTCTTCTAGCAGGATGTCGAACTGCACGCAAAGCGTTCTGACAAGTCGGGAATCGATTTCTGGCCTCTTGCGCAGATAAGCTTCCAGGAGTTCAAGAATAAGTTGTTGGAGCCGGGACTTGTTGACCACATCGAAGTTACCAACAAGAGCGTAGCGAAAGTCTATGTGCAACCATCGCAGCCTTCTCCTGACTCAAGTTTTGAGGGGTTGTCAACAGATGCTCGGCAAACTACAGATGGAAACCGCGGTGGGCGTTACAAGTTTTACTTCAACATCGGAAGTATCGAGTCCTTCGAACGTAAACTAGAAGATGCCCAAGACACATTGGGAGTAGATCCTCACGATTACATACCTGTCACGTACGTGTCAGAGATGAGTTGGCAACAGGAGCTTCTGAGGTTGGCACCGACTCTTCTAATTATAGCGGGTTATATATTTTTTACAAGAAGAATGCAAGGAGGTTTTGGTATGGGAGGAGGTTCAGGAGGAATGGGTGGACGAGGAATCTTCAACGTGGGCAAGGCCCAAGTGACCAAGTTGAACCAAAAAGCGAAAGATAAGGTATCCATCAGACGTATAAATGGGCTAATTAAACAGTCATAATTTGCACCCGAAGAGTCATAGATACTACGATCTCCTCTATGCGGGCGTAGTCTTTTTCCACGATTGTGAATTGTTGTTCGTCTACTACTCTGAAGTAGGACCGACATTGTTTGATTCTCGTATTATTTGTGTACGTGAGACGAGCATCTTGTTTGAGTATTTACCCGACAAATTGTGTCCTTGACGCAGGTTATGTTTAAAGATGTTGCCGGATGTGACGAAGCCAAACAGGAGGTTATGGAGTTCGTGCATTTTTTGAAGAACCCGGCAAAGTACCAGGAGATTGGAGCAAAGATTCCGAAAGGTGCCCTTCTGGTTGGGCCGCCAGGAACCGGAAAGACGTTGCTAGCCAAAGCCACAGCTGGAGAGGCTGGAGTTCCATTTCTCTCTATAAGTGGTTCAGATTTCATGGAAATGTTTGTCGGTGTCGGTCCGTCTCGAGTCAGAGATTTGTTTGCTCAAGCTCGGCAGGCGAGTCCAAGTATTATATTCATCGATGAGATTGACGCCATTGGTAGGGCGAGAGGTCGAGGTGGTTTTGCTGGAACAAATGATGAACGAGAAAGCACATTGAATCAGCTGTTGGTTGAGATGGATGGTTTTGGAACCACCACGGGTGTGGTCGTGCTGGCTGGAACAAATAGGCCAGATATTTTGGATAAAGCCTTATTAAGGCCAGGTCGTTTTGATCGGCAGATTGCAATCGACAGACCCGATATCAACGGAAGGGAACAGATTCTTCGTATCTATTTGCAAAAGCTTAAGCTCGACCAGGAAGTTTCATACTATTCCCAGCGAGTTGCAGCGCTCACTCCAGGATTTGCAGGTGCTGATATTGCCAACGTTTGTAATGAGGCTGCTTTAATCGCAGCTAGGCACGAAAAGACCGAGATTACGATGGACCACTTTGAGGCCGCAATAGATCGTATCATCGGTGGTCTGGAGAAGAAAAAGAGGGTGAGAAACTTCGACTCTGACATCCTGGGTGAATTTATGTTTGAAATGTAGACAAGTTTTCAATGTGAGAAGGATGTTCACATAATGAAGTGATGGAGGTCCTCATTTGTAAGATATTTCGAGAAGTTGCTATGAGTGAGGATCCTTTAGCGGAGGCAACATGTGAATCTCTGTGCAGGTAAAGTAGTGAAAGCTTTTGACAGTATCTGGCTGTATAATTGCTGGAGCATCAAGTGACTTGGCAGGCTTGCTGTGGATTTTCTTTCAACTGTTTTTACTTGTAGCACATAATGTCGAAGCATATGCTCTAACGTTATATGCACAAGCCTAGTCATGCTGACCTATCTTTTCCTTACTGGTGATTAGGTCATTAGCAAAGAAGAGAGAAGAACTGTTGCTTATCATGAGGCGGGACATGCAGTCGCTGGATGGTTCTTGGAGTACGCGGAACCCCTGTTGAAAGTATCCATTGTGCCACGAGGCACGGCCGCTTTGGGATTTGCCCAGTATTTGCCTAACGAGAATCTTTTAATGACCAAGGAACAACTGCTGGACATGACATGCATGACTCTGGGTGGACGCGCGGCGGAACAGGTGCGCTTTGCTGCGTTTGTGTGAAGTTCTTGTCAGTGAACGGGAATTGTTTTGCTTGAGTCAATTCCGGATAAAAACGCCTGGACATGATGCTCCGATTAAAGCCAAAATCAACAATTAATTCTGTTTAGTTGTCGGAATCGAAACTTACCTGATTTTTGCAAGTTTGTAGAAGTCGATCTTCATTGTTGCGATGTTCCTGAATGCTCGCGTCTACATGTTATTATGATTATGCAGATATTGTTGGGAAAGATCTCAACAGGTGCTCAGAATGATCTTGAGAAGGTCACGAAAATGACATATGCTCAGGTAGCAGTGTATGGGTTCAGTGAGAAGGTGGGTCTACTCTCATTTCCTCAAAGAGACGACGGCATGGAGATGACAAAGCCATACGGCAACCAAACGGCGGAGATAATAGATCAGGAGGTTCGAACTTGGGTTGACAAGGCATATCAGCGTACTCTGGCATTACTGACCAAGCACAAAGCTGGAGTTGAAACACTGGCCAAAAAGTTGCTTGAGAAGGAAGTGTTGCACCAAGAGGACCTTGTAGAAATTTTAGGTAATAGGCCGTTCACGAATGCGGAGTTGAGCAATTACGATCGCTTCAAACTAGGTTTCCAACCCCCTAGAGGTGCTGATGCCGATGCCGGTGCCGGCACCGATGGCAAAGAAGCAGGTGATGGTTCAGATGGAGGTAATGGTGAGAAGAAAGCAAATGGCTCACCACCGCAGCCAGATGGAGTTCCTCTTCCAGCGCCAGCACTGCCACTGATCTAGTATCATATCGTTTGTCTTCCAGGAGAAAGCTTCAATTATTAGAAGTATCTGTATCATATGATAGTGTAAAGTGCATTCATGTTGCAGGTAGAAAGAAAGCCACATGGTTTGAGCAAGGACTAAGTTGCAGGCCACTAGTTGGGTAACTTATAGTTCAGCTTCCAAACTCTTGTTGTCTACACATTGTAGTCTTTGCCATGTTTCCCTCAAAACTTCACCGGATCTAGATATGTCGGTACTCAGACGCTGAAAATAAGCGGACGCAATTGGTCAGTTGGTTACAACAGTTTTACTTGGTCTCCTAGTCCAATTTACACGAATTGTGTGTGCTGGACTTGTGGACATACTAGAGCAGTCTCTTTACAAGACTTTGTCAAACCTCCTTCAGGCGGGTCATGATTTATACCACATGGCAATGAAAAAGTTCCCGTGAGAACTTCATTTCTGTCTTTTGCGGCCGGCGTTCCCGATCTCCGCTTCTGTGAATTACTGGAGTGAACTGGGATTTGTCGCTAGGCCAAAGTAACATGCAGTAATTTGGTAGTTTTTGAATGCTCACTGCTTTCTACGTGTGCAATGCTGTAGTTCAGTTCCATGGAATTGTACGATGTAAATGAAAATGATCTGCAGATGCACACGGAGGAGCAACATTTCAAGTCTGCGTCTTTCTGTGAAACTGCCAGTCTTATTGCAGCACCTATGCTCTTTACCATTTTTAGAGTAAACCTTCACATTTTTTAGTGGTGAAGTAATAATAGTCAATGAAATTAATGCTCACAAAGGATGAAAGATTAGCGTCAGATGAAAATCTTCCGAAGAGGGTAATGTTGCATGTCATCGAGACTCTACGTTCAGAAATCAGTACGTAGACACAATTGACAATCGCATCTGGGAGGTCTTGATCCTAAAGCAAGTATCAATTTTGCGTAATTCAAAGATGGATAAACAAATGTTGCTATCAGTGTGTGTGAGAAGTCATCCAACGCAGAGTATGTGGCAGATGTAAGACACAGTGGAAGAGACTTGGTACCTAACAATCACAAGAGTGAAAGACACCCAACTTTTTAGAGATTTCGATAGTTGGATTTGACGATGACTTCATGATGTTTAAAATTGTACCGGATTTGCAATTCTCGATAACCATGGTCGTCATGTAGTGAACAAAAAAATACATTATTTTAAGAGATATGATTCCACGTCTTTTCAGAATAACGAATGGAAACGAATCACAAAGTCAATATTCATGCAGTTATTTATAATTGCATCATCAATTCCTCATCACTATGAGCATAGAAGACAAGGAAATTATAACACAAATTACTTGAGAGTACTCATCAACTTTCGTTTTACCCTATGGGATTTCACCTCTCGGCACACCCTCGGTGGGGTTCGCATTTTACAAGTAACTTCGCCAAGTTGTAAAACCTGTTCCTTCACATATATGTGATGAGACTTATAGACTCTGAAAGTTTGTACTAATCTCAGGAGAATACTCGAAACATCTTTATTATTTCTGTAACAAATGCCAAACAAATTCTCTTCCCGGTAAATGCTAGATGCATTAATACCACTGCACAAATTTGGAGATCAGCTCAACGATTGGCGTTGTGATTGGCTCAGATTGGCGTTGTAATCATCTCAGGTTGGAGAGCGTTGTAATCAGGTCAACTTCCGAATTGGTGTAAGAAGGTATTCCTCTGCAAAATAGTCTCAAGCCTACCAAAGGTTGAGGCACATCGAAAGCTGATACATTTGATGGTGAGCGGCTGAGAAATTGGTTTGGATTTCTGTCCGAGATGAAAAGGAGCGAAATGGAGAGAGAGAAGGAGGAGACAAGGAATCATGAGTTTTTCGGGAAGGAGGCGGGCAGGGTTCTCAAAATGTTGCATCTTTCAGAGACATGGGGAAGTCAGAATTTTCTACATAATCTTTTGATACTAGAACAATCGTTGGATCCATTAGTAAAATGAAATTTAATAGGTCCAATAATCAATTTGTGATACGATGGGTCCCATCAAATAATTAACTCTATAAAAGATGCAGTTGCAAACTTTCCCCCAACACCTACATATTTTATATATTGGGATAAGAAGTGACGAAGGTGGGAAAATATGTTGATTCAGGCTACAAGCTTCATGCTACGAAATTCAAATTTGAAAAGTCTAAAAGAACGTCAAGTACCAAAAAAATAATGTTACAAAATATAAAAAATTACAATAAGTTAAACTAATAACAAGTGACGGCGAGAAAACTCTCAGTTAGAATATAAACACAGGTCACAAGATGAGTGTCAATCTACAAAAGTTTAATGTGGCAGGACAAGTGTTAATTCTTACAAAACAATCAAGACCACAAAATGTAGATAGGAAAAAATATGAATGTCGGTGAAGAGAAAATGTTGTAGAACATAATTTTCCAGCTCAACAAGATTTTTTTAACCTTCATATTTATAGTTTTTTTATACACGACGGCGTAGTGTATCATTGACAAAGCCCGCCGGTCTAGAATCCGAGTGATATGACTCGACCGAGGTTAGGCCGCGGGAATCTTCAAGGACTCTACGCTACTCAGCGGTCCTACTGCAGCTTCTGGTCAGTTACCCGCGTGACAAGTGTCCACCGGAAGCCCGGGGACAGTATTCCGAACATGTGGTGCACAAAAAAGGAGAAGAAGAGAGAACACGGCAAAGAAGGAAGGAAGACGCTCATCACCGGCGCTCTCCACTCCCGACAGAAGATTTAGCGGAGGTTTTGCAGGCGAACCGGTAGAAGCGGTAGAAGCGGGCGCGGCTCTCTCTGTCACGCCGTGACGTGACAGGTCAGCATGGCAGGCGCGGGGGAGCCCAGGAAGGAGCGCATACGTAATACAAATGCAAAGAAAGGGCGACGACGACGACAGCGCGGTCGAGGTTCCGCGCGATGGACGAGCCAGCGCCCGAGCTATCGTCCTTCCTTCCTTCGTGGTGGCCGCCCTTCGAGGAGGAGGAGTCGCCTCGAAGCCAAGCAGCGACGAGCAGCGAGTGGCGCAGACGTAAAGCACGGCGGTGGCAGAAAAGCGCAGCTGTGGAGCAGGAGCAGGTGGAGCCCGGCCGGGCGGGGGCTCGACTTCGGTCGATGTGGTGTGGTGTGAGGACGGGGCCACGTAGTGGCGAAGAATTCCGAGTTTGCCGGATTCTTTGACCGATTGTTCTGTGATCATCGAGGAGGAAGGATTCTCCGGAGCCCGGGCTTCGATTTGTGATCGAGGAAAATCGCTGGGCGGGCCGGAACTCTCCGTCGTATCCGCAGAAGAAGGTGAAGGAGGAGAAGTGAAGGGAAAAGATTTGATTGGATCTTGATTCGCTGCTCGAGCCCGCGCACGAGGAGGAATGTAGCACGAGAATCGGACCGGGAGCCTTCGGGATTCGATCGATTTCTGTGCGCAGATCTACCACTGCTTGTATCGCAAACGTGCCGAAAACTCTTGCGGATGTTGTAGATCCTTGTTGTTGGCACCGCGGGAGGAGTCAATCCGGAGATTGTGCTCCTGAGGTGAATTTCAGAAATGGGAGGATGCCTCTGAGTGCCAAGTGTCATACATACAACGGTGATCTTCGCGAATTCTCCTAAACTAGATATAAAATTGGACGAAGTGGAAGCCGTGTGTGCTTTTCTTTTGTCTTCTTCTTCTTTTTCTTCGTGTAAGCGGATGCAGTGACTCCCGACATCAGCCGAGAAGGCTTTCATCAATTGATCCACGGGCACCTAGAACGTCAATACTGAGGCGATCGATTGTTTCAAATCTCTGAGGAATTGTTTCATAAGCAGTTCCGGGACAGGAAGTTGATCCTAAATGGGGCGCGCAAGGTTTTGGAGGCAAATGCAAGTGTTTACTACTGCTCTTTCAGTCTTCCTAGATTACAAGGCACGTGCTCTCTAACCTCAAAAATCTGTTACAGTACATTGTTTTTACATTGAATCGAAGAATTGATGAGGAAGTGTACAAAGATCGCCAGTAAATAGCTGTTGATATACTCTGAGACCAGGGGTTTTGAAGAAATGAGTAACGAAATTATAGCGTTCTCATTTAGGGAGCGTGAGGATGCTGTACTTGTTGAAACGGAAAATCAACGCAGCATGAATGTCTTATGGAAGCCGCTGATTTTAGCTAAAATCTATGAGATGCAAGGATCAAGTCTTTGATTTTTTCGGAGAATTGCATTTTCTTTTGTGTGGGCAAGCTTAACTGAAGGGGTTCTTTCTCGCCTACAACCAGCGTTGAGTTTGTACTGTAGGATTGTTAATCCAGCACATTATTGCTCGAGAAACGAAGAAAAGTATTTATCTAGCATGCCCCCTGCAGCGTGTGATCTACGATCTATCATGCTTTAGTAAACAAAGTGTCCGAAAGAGATTTTTCCAGAGTTTCTGAATATGTTAGAGCAGTTTATAAAACAGCCTGAATAACTGCAAAACGAAGTTTTTGGAATAGAATGAAAGATGCCATCAAATGGGAAGCATGGGCGGAGATAAGGAGGGTGTTACTACTCTTGGGCTATCTGGAAACTGATATCAGCTGCGGACAAATAAAAAATTGACTTGAAGGGGTCCAAGTAGAGTAGCTATGTTCATCGAACAGAGTGATTGATTGTGTCACTATCAAAGACAGTCGCTTGTATAAGAGTTGCAAGGGCGATGGATTTCCATAGAATTGGATGAGGAAACTTGGATTGAAATCAGGGATTTAAATATACTTAAGCGATCCTCTGATTTCCTCATTTCCACTATTTTGACACAGTGCTGTAAGGCCTAGCTTCTTTCTTTCAGAATCGCTTTTAGCACGTTATAGTGAAATAGCTGAGTACATTTCACCTTGTAACCGTGGACTTTGCACATAGCGTCAATAAAAGAGAACTTTGCAAAATTGCATTCTTTGATGTCATGTATTAATGCAATTTGTGCAGATTTTACAAAAGAAAGAAAAGTGGTCAAAAACAGAAGATGTTGATAGAGCTTGGGAGCGGACACATGAGAAAAACGCTGAAAGAGTGTTGAAGACCATTATCAAGTTAGAGGGTCTTTGGGTAAAGTTGGGGCAGTACTTGTCCACCCGAGCAGATGTCTTACCGGAAGCTTACGTCAAATGTTTACGGCAGCTGCAAGACTCGCTTCCTCCTAGGCCTTTGAGTGAGGTATGCATACTACCACCATGATGTCTATGACCAGAGGAAGACAAATCAGACAAGGAGGAAGTTTGGGGAAAAGTTATGTCCTCGCACGGAACTTTGCAATGAGATCGTCCTTCTTTTCTTGTTATCTGCTCAAAGCCCGTGGATGATTATAGTCCTAGTTTGTAAATAATATATTTATCCGACTAAAGTTGGCCAACTTGCTAAAGGATGATCACTAATCTCACGTTGTGACCGTACAGGTGTACCGCACAATCAAGAAGGAGCTTGGAAATTCACCGGATGAACTGTTTGCCAGCTTTGATGATGTTCCTCTGGCAACAGCTTCAGTAAGCTTTTCTTCCTAAGGAGTTATCGATGCTCGTCGGATGAGTTTTTTAGGTGTGGTATAGAAAGTTGTGGCTTTCCTTGTAGAAAAACTAGATCTGCAGTTTTTGGCAGATTCAGTTCTTTTCTGTGTCGTGGTTGAAGATCGGTCATCCTGGTTTGTATGCGTCTGAGGAGCCTTTCAGGAGCTACGATTAGTAAATCTTTTGGAGTTGAAAGATGTTTCTCATTTCGAACTGATTAATTTTAGAAACTTCATTCGAGTTCTGTCGAAATGATGTTTCTCATTTCGACAGTACTTAGAATTAATCAGTTGGAAATGGATACTCCTGGCAGATAGCACAGGTTCATAGGGCCGAAACGAAAGATGGACAAAAAGTTGTCGTAAAGGTTCAACATGATGGAATTAAAGCGGTCATTCTGCAGGTATATATCTAGCCTTCAGCCGCTACTTGTCAGAAAGATTCTGAAGAAAAAATAGCCGTTGAATACATTAACGTTTTTCATGTTTCATATTTAGCCTTTGACACTGTTTTCCTAGATAAGAGACTTGCTAATATATGTAATACCTGAAAATTGCAACAAACTGCCATTACTGGTTATTTGTCAGAAATTCTGAGGTAGAAAGGTGTAGACGTTGGGTCCATCTTTGAAAATTAACTTGCTGATAATTTGATGATATATGTACGTTATTATGTTCTGCTCGTTTCAGGCGCTTCTATTGTCATTAGCCATGCAACATGCTTTCTACATGCTGACTTTGCTAACTTTGTGGTCCCTTTAGTTCTGCTCCTGATACTATCCTCGTGATCTTTAACGCTGATTTTTGCACTGTTTATTGGGTTTTTAGAGCTGAAACCTGCGTTTGAGAAGACGTTTGCGTTTGAAAAGACGTTGAGTCCAACGTTCTCTCATCAATACATATTATTTTCACATTAATAAGCAATGAAGCAATAAGCATGTAATCTATCTTCATGTTTCAGGATCTAAAAAACGCTCTCACTATCGTGAAATGGCTAGCATGGGCAGAGCCACAGTATGATTTTGGGCCAGTTATGGATGAGTGGTGCAGTGAAGTGCCGAAGGAGCTCGACTTTAATCTTGAAGCAGGTTTGTTTCGATTTCTCCATTTGTTTTTTCATAAGCTGGTGCCCAGCCTACAAAGGAAAGGAAAAAGCTGAAGACGTAGGTTAGGAGGTTTTAGGTAATGGACAGTACTTCTTTAGAATCAAAATGATCCTAAAGAAGTACTAAACTGATAAATCGTTGCATCGTACAAGTCGACTCGGTCGATGGAAAGTGTGGAGGGTTGTAATGCTCTCTCTTACCGCATGGGAGCTGGTAGACGATGGTGTGGATTTTATACCTTCCACTATTTTGTGGAATTAGAGAAAAAGCGTGTAATCTAATTTTTCAATTGCACTTCTTGATCAGTCTTTTTCTGTTCGTCTGGCCACGTAATGTGACAACTTGCAGAAAATACCACGAAAGTTGCACAGAATCTTGACATACATAATGGAGGCAACTCTCAGTTCTCAGGTGACAAAGTGGATGTGCTACTTCCAGAAGTCATTCAGGTAAAACCCTGGTTTCTTTTACTGGATGAAGGTTGGAGCTGGACCTTTGTTGTTGTAACAAATACTAGGAACTGTGAGACAGTCCAACTATAATACTGTATGGATTACTCCTGGCCATTACCATGGAGGTTGTAGCCTAGAGACGGGACAGAGAGTCTCCGTCCCGTTTTCTGATTAAAGTAAGAGTTTTTCAAAGTGTAAAATCAGTACTGTATCTGACAAGCTCTATTAAATGTATACGTGCAACCTTGTACGAGGTTGGACGTATACATCTAACACAGCTTATCATCCTATCTTAGAAGTCTTGAAGTTTGCGATTACTAGATTGAATTATGCACCTTTGCTAAAAGTGGTGGTTTTGACATAGCTCTTTCTGCATATTCATTTTCTTCTTGTTTGTATCACCGCAGTATGCTTCTTCCATCTTTAGCAGAGTCTTGCGTATCGTCACGTCCCTGATGACGGTATTACTCTTTAACAAGTGCAGCATACAGAAAAAGTTCTTGTGCTCAGTTATATGGACGGAGTTCGTCTAAGTGACATTAACGCTCTTGAGACTATGGGCGTTAACAAACAAGTCTTAGTGGAGACAATCACTCGGTCTTATGCGCATCAGATCTTCATCGATGGGTTTTTCAATGCTGATCCTCATCCAGGTCTGGTTTGAAAGAAGAGATTATCGTGGGCCTTTGGCATTCGTCCTGCCTGAAGCCTTTGTGATGTCTGTCTTTGACAAATCTTTAACGTTTCGCTTTAGTTCGCGTTCGCATCTCTTTTGTGACGTGTAATATATTGTAGGATGTTGACGATTTGTCCTGAGTTACAATACGGGTGTGTTTTATTATTAAGTATTGTAGGTGTATAGTGTGTACATCCAAATTGATGTTTATATTCTCAGATTGTTTGAAAATTGTGGCTTCTTTGTACATGTTAATATCTCAGCGATGGAATTTTTATCAGAGCAATGTGCTTCTTAAGAAATCGAAGGAGAAAGCTAACGTGTGGCCCTACTTTTGGTGACCTGAACAGGCAATTTTCTTGTCAGTAAGGAGGCACCATTCAAGCCCATTCTTCTGGATTTTGGTCTTACCAAGTCATTGACTTTCGATAAAAAGCAGGCGCTCGCCAAACTACTTCTGGCATGTGCTGAGGTCATTATTTCTTAACCTCTGTCTGGGTGAAATCTACTTGGACTACAATTTGTGTTTCGACTGAGGTTATATCAGACGACAGTGAAGAAGATAACGTGTATTTAGTAGTTGCCCATGTAAATGTGAAGCTTCATAAAGAGACCAAAGTAGTGTAGACGGATATTCAACTTGCCATCAAAGGATCAAACCATTGTTGGGAATCTACTAATGCAGTTATTAGAAAATGTAACGTGCAGAACATTAGTTCTGGATGAGACAAATGCCTCAAGAATTTGGTCTATTAAAATTTGGAATTTTCATTTGCCCTAAATGTTCTGATTAGGAGAAAAGGTGGTAGCATGTTAGACCTAAGTTGACCACGAATTCACGAGCGGATTTAAACGTAACCACATCATGTTAAGTTTTGATTTGCTACCCGTCTCACCCACCGAAGGAAGAAATGAATATTTGACAGCTGCCATAACATCAGATAATGCTATCGTGTGCAGGGAGATTATGCATCCCTTCTATCCGCATTTTCTGAGCTGGGGCTAAAGCTACGACTCGATATTCCAGAAGAGGCTATGGAAGTTACCAACTTCTTTTTTCGTCGCTCTGTCCCTGCCAAAGAATCCCGTGTACGCTGCTTTCATTCCTTGGATGTTTTACCAATCTCTACAGCAAGCTCGTACTGTTCTTTGTCTGTGTTTCTTGCATAGACATATATTGCTGCCTACGGGAGAAAGGGCCTGTTCTTTCACTGACGCAAACAGAACATTGAAGGTGTCAATTTCTGTTGTTACTTCTTAGACAATGGTCATGACACAATCAAACTTGTCCAAGATTTCTGATCCTTCAGGACGTAGGTTTATCTTGAGATAAAGTCTTTGAAGTGTAGCTGCTTAGATCAGCATCCAAGATGTCCAGCAAGATTCTGATCCTACAAGATGCAGGGTTATCTTTAGATGAAGATTTTGATATTTGGTCGCTTAGATCAGCATCACTGCGCAAGCGATTACCCCTACTGTTGTACCTGCAGGCAGCGCTGCAGCAAATGACGAAAGAAGCCGAGGACAGAAGGAAAAGAGTTGAAAAGAAACTGCAGGAACAACAGCAGGAAGCTGAAGAGAAGGGCGGCCATGTTCGAAATCCGGTAGGCTTTATGCCTTGCGTTGCTTGGTCTGATTGTTTCTGAGTTTCACTTTATAGTCTATTATATAAGTAGAATGTACATATTCTAGTATAGTCTACTATACAAGTAGAAAGTCCATTAAGTGGACATTTTTACTATATGCTATTCTTTACTGACCTTCCAAATATGTCTACAGTAGTTTAGATCTTTACGGTTGGCAACACGAGCTGCGTTCTGCTCCTAGTTGAGTCGTGTTGAATTGACTTCATCCTTACAGCTAGGATACTAAATACATGAGGAACATTCTTCTCTTTGACTGTAAATCACATGAGGCATTCAGCCATAGATCTTAAGTGCTTGAAGAGGTAACTCGTTGATTTGTATTTGTAAATATTTGCTAACATAGAGTGCCAGTGCAGGCGCAACTGTGTACTTATGGATAAGAGTAGAGATCATTTACCGTGTCAATACGTGGAAGTATGAGTCACCTATGTCTTTGTGATGCTCACAGGTCGATGCTTTTCCCGGTGATGCAGTCTTCTTTATGAGGGTATTGAATCTTCTTAGAGGTGAGTAGGTCTTAAGCAAGATGGCACTTTCCAGAACGCGGGTTCCTTTATGATTACTGCTCCCTTCTTGCGATATGTTTATACATTTTACCAATCGGCAGTCGGTATGCAGGAATGTCATCTATGCTCGATACTGAGGTGGTATACCTTGAGCTGATGAGGCCGTTCGCCGAAGCAACTCTATTTAGGTTCGTGAGGAGCATTTAAATCTCTTTGTCGCTTGTTTTGTCATTATATTCCTAGGGTGAAAGTTACGTTTTTCTCAAGAGCCTACTCTGGATTCTCCTTACGTTTATTGTGCGATGCAGTCCTTAGTTCCATTGAAATACTCTTCAGCGTTACCACTCATCACTCCGTTTGTTGTCGAAGTTGTATATTTTGGGATGTTTGTACTTACTAAGGTGTAAAATTTACAGTGGCAATATTCTGGCGGACCGAAATCTTCAACAGGAGAATTGGATTCGAACGAATGTCGCGAATTCTGTAGTAGAGGAGAAGCTCCGAAAATTTCTGAAACAAATGGGAACGCAAAATCGTATTCTGGGAGTTCAGGTAGATCCCTTCGTCAGCTAAACTATCTCAGGGTACACAAGCATATTTAGAGCCATACCAACTCTGTCTATCGTGCAAGTTTTCTAAATTCAGTTGTTGTCATGAGGTCTTTTTTGCGAATGTGATATTGCTGCTGGTCTGCGTATACTATTAAGCACCTTTCGTAGTAGACAAGGTCGTTCACAGTTGAGTGTTTAAAATATGAAGCGATCGTGGACTGATATCGTATTCTCACATTAGTTTCAACTCTTCACCTTGAGATCCACTCAAGTGGTTTGTTGAGTTTTTTAGTGTATAAAAAGCAGGAATAGAACGGTCTAGTCCTTTTTGTAGCAAATCCATCATTCGGTACTTCGGGAAGTACTTGGTTCTTGGTTGTTTATTCCTCCATATCTATCTTCTACCTAGTGACTGAATTCACTAGGTAGAAGATAGAGTTATTTTACATCAGTGTTTGTAAACAATATTTATGGTTCCGATTTCAGGTCTGTGCCTACAAAGATGGGAAAGTCATTATTGATACCGCGGGGGGAGTACTTGGGAAATATGATCCTCGACCTGTTGAGACGGATAGTTTGTTCCCAGTATTCTCTGTGACGAAAGGAGTGACCGCTGGTCTCTTACATCGTTTAGCAGATCAAGGGTGAGTTTATATTTTTATCTCTGGAAAGAAAATTGTTATGGGTTGAGTGTGTGAGTATCTCATCCTTTAGGTTTAAGAAACGATATTCTTCCCAGTGGATCAGTTCAGGATTTTCTCACTGAGTGAGGTTAGTGATTGTTGTAGTTCGAAGAAGGACGATTCATAACCTTAACTTATCAAGAACTAACCTTGTTTCCAAATTTTCCTTGCAGAAAAATTAACTTCCAGGAGAAAGTTTCCACGTACTGGAAGGAATTTGGTGTGAACGGGAAGGAGGAAATTACAGTAGGTGCTCTTCGTTTCCGTAATGTTGCGTTCAGTCATGCAACTTTTTGGTTAACTGGCACCGCTCAGATAGAGCACAGTGTCCACGATCTAAACGTCATGATCTAAGCGAGTACTCACCTTGTTTCTTTCTTAACAACTTTTATTGCCTCATCACTTCTGCTTGTGTGAATTGATCAATGAGAGTATGCTCTTGAGCCTAGTGAATATTTTCTGGTGTCAGGGATCGGAAAGAAGATTTTTGTTAATTTGTCTTTCACACTGTTACTTATGCTGTTCCAAAGGATCGTTATAGGTAGCACAAAATCTCGCTTTGATGTTTTCGCATTGCGAGTTGTGTCTCAGCACAACTGGGGACTAAACCAAACCTAAACCTGTCTTTAAACCAAGGACTCTCGTCTTAGGTTCACATGCTTTGCATCAGGCTATTCAATAGGCAGTGGTGGATCTGAGTAGTCATGTTCTCACAAAGTGTGACGATATGTCCAGGTTGCACAGGTGCTGAACCATACGGCAGGATTACAGAATGCATTATCCAGTACTCTTCAAAAAAATCCGATGATTATGTGTAACTGGAAGGATACCTTGAATCTTCTTGCACAAGTGGCACCAGAAAGTGTGCCCGGGAAGGAACAACAATATCATACGTTGACTTATGGCTGGCTGTGTGGAGCAATAGCAGAGGTACCACTTCTTACGCTTCGTTGTTATGATGATTTAACTCCAGTTAAAAATGACCGTTGTCAAAATCTGGAGTAATCTGTGTTTATGGTAGCAAATGTGCTAAAATGTGGTGTCGTGGAGGAGCAATATCAGCAGTGGACTTGGATTCACCAAGATATACCGCCCCTGTGCGGGGAAATTCACTTCAAGAAAGTCTTTGAGAAGTAGCACAAACGGTTAGGATGGGCGGGGCGGGGTTGGGGGTCAATATCTTAAAACCTCTCCGGTGTTGGGATAATACCACTAAAACCAACCGATCGGTTGTACTTTACATAATTAGACCCATTTCGAAATACGGAGCCGCAGGTGGCCATGCACACACGAACTAGGTTGGAAGCATGACAGCTGAGAGCCTTTTGCACTATGGTCGCAGCACCAATAACGAACGGCCGGCCATTGAATCGAGGGGAGCCGGCCGGCCGGCTCCCCTCGAAGTTCGCTGAGGTGTTGCGAAGCTTATTCGAAGTAGACAGTCGCATTTATTGCCTTCTCACCAGGATCTCCGAGTTTCATTGAAAGCTATATGGACGCGCGAAAGGCAAGGGAGACCTGCCAAGCCAAGAGATGGAGGATAGTGAAAGTTCAAATGTTACGTTGTTACCAGATTCGTTTTAGAAACAGATCTGGACCTCGAAAGCGTAGTTTCTAAAGCGACAAGTGGGTTCTCAGGCTATTAGAGCTCGGAGAAAGTGAATCATAAATTTGACCTGTCTCTATTCACTAGTATCCTGAACCCATTGCCTTCAAGTATTAGTTTCAGGAGGTTCCGTGCCTAGGCACACGACCGAACTCCAAGTGACTTTTTGAATTATTCCTGTTCTCCAGAGGAAGAGCGAGATGGGGAACCACCCCGCTTTTTGGACATAGTTGAAGACGAAACGACGGTCCATACATTGTCACATGTATCTTTACATAGTGACATTATTCCACAGCCTTACATATCTGGTGGAACCAGAAATAAACTCGGTAAAAATCAAGACAGACGAAGACAAAAGTTGCTGCTTTTTTGGCCAATAAATATCTTATGTTCGATAGCCAAATGTAGTGTTTATCAGTTCACATCTGGAAACGATGAACGACCTTTATACATGGGGATATATTCTATTGTGAAAGACATCCTCTTCTCGCTATTAATGCCCTCCCTCTTGCACATCCTTTTTCACCCCATTTGCTTAGTCTGTTACCACTAGCACCGCTCAGCCAGGCCTTCATTTTAAGGCTACTTACGCAATATGTGGAGTACAGTTTCTTCGATGTCTTTCGGATTCTTGTGGTGTGAAGTGAATATCATAATGCAAGTGGGTTGGAAGTATACATATTGCTTAAAGTATGCAACAATTCAATTGGCAAGTAAAAATTGGTACAGTAGGTTGAATTCCTTGTGGACAGCTGGACTTTCTTTACCTTCTTCACCGTTGTCAATCTATCAGTGTATGAGATGCAAGACTACCTTTTGCTGAAGTGAGAGTTCTGGTGTATGTGAACTGCAGAAAGCTACAGGAAAGAGCTTCCAGGAACTTCTGGAAGAGTTTTTGGTTGGTCCTTTACAAGTGAACGGCGAGTTTTACGTCGGCATTCCGCCTGGTAACAATATGAGTGGTTACCGTATATTTCTCTACTCTAATTTCTGGAAGATCTTGGAATTTTTTGCCGCGTTGTACGACATTTATATAAGTTGGATCGTTTTGACTCTAAAGCAAACCGCAGATTGACTGTGTGATGTCCCTCTGATGCAGGTGTGGAAAGCCGCTTGGCATCTCTTACTCTGGACTTGGATGACTTGAAAGCTTCACTTTATAAGCTAGCCCAAACGAGGCCTTTGGAGTCTACAGGACAGATGGCAAATGGTGGATTAGAAGAGCGACTTAGGAAGGCTACTGGTACAATGGAAGGGGATGTTACATCGTCATTTGCAACCCTTCCCTTTTTATTCAACACTCTTTTCGTTCGTCGAGCCATTATCCCTTCGGCCAACGGCCACTTCTCAGCTCGTGCCCTAGCTCGATATTACGCCATGCTTGCAACTGGTGGGAACGTGCCCCCTCTTCCCTCCAGCGAGCCTCCTGTAGGGAGTCACCTTCACAATCCTGCCAAAGCTACACCAGTTTCTCGAAAGAAGTCAAAGAAAGCGAAGGTTCCTGCTGTAAATATAGAACAGAAAAATGAAGTCTCTACATTGGCAGAAAAACATCCTACTACCAGACTCTTTAGCAATCCACAAATCCTTGACGCTTTTGTGGGTAGAGGTCAATACAGCAATTTAGCTTTTCAAGATACCAGATTTGGTCTTGGATTCATGAGGATGGGTTCTCGAGATCAGGATCTGTCGTCATCAGTCACGGAGGGGTCTTTAGCTTTTGGTCACTCTGGATTAGGAGGTTCCACAGCATTTTGTGATCCAACTCACAACTTTTCAATAGCAGTAACTCTGAACAAGATGAATGTGGGTGATGTCACAGCCGATATAGTTCGGTTTGTCACCTCACAGTTAGGCATTCCCTGCCCCTCCCAGTTTTCCGGTTCCGGCGACGTAGGAGTAGAAATGACTATAGTAGAGATGCCGATAGCGAGTTCTTTGGAGCGAGAGGAAGTTGGAGGAATAACTGAAATCTAAGGATGTGATGAAAAAACCCCGGTAGATTTTATCCGTTCTTTCCGATATTTCGCATGAGATGCCCAGATATTATGGTCAGATCATCTAGGTACAAACTCGATCAGTGATGCAAGTATGTGTAAAGCTTACCCTACGTTACGTTCGTATATGTAACCCTGGGCTATTTATCATTCATGTAAGAGAGTTCACGTCATTTCGTTCGATGTAGATGTTCGACTTCACATTTCAAGCCTTTGCTCAACCAGTTTCTTGGTTTTGGGTTCCACGCATCTAGGCCAGTCATTGCTTGGATTGTACATAATATAAGTGTAATGGTATCTCTTGTTTTGTGCTCTTTCGCAGAGACGTTGGGATTGCAGACATCGCATTAAGCATGATAATGAAACTCATGTGAGGTGAGCACTGCGGATTCGTGCTCAATGCTTTAAAAAGTACCTGATTTTCTGGGAACTCATATCAGACATCTACACGATAAAAACTGCGTTTATTCTCTTCCTTACTAGCAGTTCGAGAACAACAAGCGAATCTACCTTTACCTCCAATCGGCTGCTTCATTCAGATAGTCTCCAGTATGTATGGCAGTATAGCACAGTTGGCATCATCATTCTGGCTCTCATTCATATCTTCTAGCCGAGAGCAGGTGTGTACAGTTGGTGCCCTGAAATGGATACTGATAGCAAACATACAAATGATGTTTCACCCTCCGTTACCAGAAGAATTTGCAAATCCGCTGTCTTAGGCCTTCCACATGTTGCCATATGGAAATGTTCAATGACGTCATTCCCATTGAAGAAGCGCCTGTACAGAAGGCAGAAGATTGACTCTATTCTAAGTTGCTCTGCCTCGAGTTATTCGAGTCCGCGAACACATCCATGGACACTCCACTTACATGGTCTTTATCCATAAGTGAGCAAAACATGTCGCTTACTCAAGTGAGTGGAGCAAGTCCTAATGTTGTGGAACGGACAATGTGACATATTTTCTTATCTAGTGATGTCACGGCTTTCATAGTAAATTCCATATTCATTCACTAGCCTTACGAAAAATTAAATTGGACTTTTTAGAAACACCAGAAATAATAGAAGATTATATCTAGATTTTTCATGTTTGAATTTCACCATCTGTTTTAAGTCTAGTTTAACAAGCAGTGTTTGAAAATGAAAAGCATACCCCACTTCTTAATCCGCTTGGGTTATGTATTGCACACGAGTGTCATGATCTGTTGTGCGGCTATGGGTTACAATACAAGATTGTTTTATTGAATGTGTATGTGTGGAGACCAGGGCAAAAAAATATACATCCTTCAAGAGTTGAATGTGTACAAAAGTTATGGATCTCTTGACTGGTTCTTTCATAAAACATCAAGCAATGTGAAGCTTGTTTGTATTCAAGCACTCACATAAGTCCAACTAATGAGTGAGAATTGATGCAATTGGAAGTTCTTTTTTAACATTGTTGTCATGCAATAATACATAACAAGAAATTTATATTTCTTCATTGAGTTTTATTTATAGTGTAAATAGACATAGTCATACAACCTACAATGTACATCATTGGCATACCGTACATATACACAAATTATAGACGAGAGCATACACAAACATCAGTACACCATAGCTTGTACTTTTAACTCGAAGTTAGAGTTTTCCTCACTCCCAAGTAGTCTTAAATACAACTATATGTTATACACTTTCATGGATGCAAAAACCAGTAGGTCAGATGATGTATCATTCTATCTTTAGTCGTCTATTTGCAATTCATAACATGTGAAGATCAAATCATCTATTTCTCAAAAGTACATCAAAGACAAACACATCGTCTAGACGGAACGACATAAATAGGTGGAGTCAAACAGAACATGTGTCATTCTCTAGAACACCTATCACAAATCAACATACAAGCCGCGTGATCTGCTAATCCACATAACATGCATCTCAAGCCAACACGTCATGTGTTGTCAAGCTAGAATCCATAATATCATTCACGTTTGGGAGATGGCATCGCGCACAGCTGCACATATGATCTTTCCAAACAACACCATCACAACCATTCAACACAAGAACTCCAAAAGATAACAGCTCTTTCACTCGCAAAATATTGCTTTCCATCGTCACATCCAATGTTTTTTGTGCAGTTTACTTTAAATAGACGTAATCTCCCACATGGAATCTACAAATTGATGCTCAATAATTTCATCGTCAGGTAGTTACCTACCACAATGTATCTCTATGTTGAACAAATGCAAGGTTTTCAAACGCTGCTCGCATGATTATCCGAAAGAGATTTGCATGTTGAGAACACATTCTCACCCACATGTCTAGATGATCAAGTTTCATCACCTCATTAGACTCACGACAAATCGCTGTCAGCAAGAATAGATCTCGGCCGTACAACATACAATATGGTGAGAAGAAAGCCTAAGATGTTTGATGACTGAACCGATATCCCATTACCAATCATGATAACTCAATATTTCATTCCCCAAGATATCCCTTCAGTAGGTCATACTTGAAAGGCCCAAACATCCAGATCGATTAGCACGCACGACAATCACAACACCGAGATAACGTGGTTCACCTTCCACAGGCTACGTCCACGAACAAGAGCAAAAACTTCACTAAAGCTTCAATGTATACACGGCCTCCATAACCAAGCGCTACTCTTTACTGTTTAGTCTCTCAGTGCTATCCTAAATTGTACGCATAGAGAGTCTCCTTCTCTCTTCTATACAAGAAGAAATAAGGTAATCTAACATAACATAACCTAACCACAATTAACTTTCTAACCATGGTTACCACTAATTGGAGTTAATCCACGGTAAAGTTAACCTAACAATACTTGTGCAATGCCTTGTTCAACCTTGTTACAACACATTCAGTTCAATCATCCGGCTTTGGATGATCTCGAGACGTGGTCCGAGGATAGATCAACATTTTGTCATACAATACCTGAAACTTTATACCTAGATTGATCAACACCTTAGTTCGTGCATCAAAGTGATTAACCATCCGGTCAACAAAATCATACGCTGCTCTCTCATTCGCCTTATCAGGTGATGCCACCAACTCAATACACTTGGACAAATGCTCCACCATTAGAACACATACCGATGATATCGTACAATCAAAGATAATGGTCTAACAGATCCCAAACTCCAACGGTAATTCAATCTCATGATAGGCAAGGGATGTAACTTTGATGTTTGGTGTTGGACATTGAACGATAATCTCACTCAATCATAAATCATGCAACGTAATACCAACGGCTTTACCTGAACATGCATATCACGCCACCAATAATGACCAAGGAGTAAACTGTATGTACTTTTCACTCCAAAATGATCAAACTCCTCATGAGCATGTCGCATGATGTGAGCTCTCTGAGCTCGATGCGATACCATTCATATACTACTGTTCTCTTACACTTGGAGAACATGTTCTTCCTCCAACCAATAGCTCTTTGCCCTTTCGAGAACATGATCTCCCTCTTTGACATTCACTATGCCTGACACCATACTGGTTCGTAAGAACTCCAATACTAGTGCCTTATTGTGAATATCACGCTGATTCATTCCACCATCTTCAACCTCAAAATCTGAAGATTGACCATCCACTCTTTGACTAGAGTAAGATGCCAAGTGATACTCTCTATCAGAGTTTCCACGTAATAAACACAAGAAATTAGTTGCATGCCAATTGGGCACCATCTCCTCATCAACCTCATCATCTAACTCCGATATCATCCTCTTGGCTAGTGCATGAGTTTTGACTCAAACCATCGGCATCAAGGTTTGCAACTCCAGATCTATGCACTATCTAAAAGTCGTACTCTTGTAATATGAGAGCTCACCATGCAAGCTTCGCTGTGAGCTTGTCGGACTCCATCAACCACTTGAGCGACTGGTGATCAGTAACAAAGGTAAGTTGCGAGCCAAACAAATAACACATGAAGTGTGGCACAATCCATACCACTACCAAACACTCTCCCTCGTACAAATCATATTGTGACTCCGTTTCCTTGTTCAAACAACTAGCTTACGCAATCACAAACTCTTTACCCTCATCATCACGCTCCGTTAACGCCGCTTCAAGTTTCAACATACTTCAATCGGTGTGTAATTAGTACGGATGAACTTTGATGGATCATCTCAAGACGGGAGCGTACACTAACTTGGCCTTGAGTTCAACAAAAGCTCTCATGTTCATCATCCCATTGCCAATCATGATCCGACTTCAGCAATTGATTCAAAGGTTTTGCTATAGCACCAAAACCCTTCATATACTTTTGGTATTAGTTGTTCAAACCCATGAATGCATGAGTTCTACTCACATTAGTCGGAAGAGGTACGTGTGCAATAGTCTCATCTTTTGCTTGCTGAACTTCCAAGCCATATGGATAGATAACAAGATCCAAGTACTCAACGTTCTCCTAGAGAAACTTACACTTCCCATATGTAAACATAGAACTTGAGACTTCAACCGCTCAAACACAATTTGCAAATGTATCTGGTGTTGATTCACCGTGTCGCTAAATACCAAGATATCATCAATGTAACACTTGACAAAATCCAATTGATAAGACAGCAGTCGATACACATTTGCCTATACGTGTAATCGCCTTGTACATTCTTCTTTTTCTTCATGAAAGTGGCTGACGCATACTCATCATGCAATAAGTCCACTAATCCAGCCTCCAGTAGGTCCAACGTCATACTCTAAATCAAGTCACTCTTCATATCATTATATCGATAGGGACGACAAAAGATTATTGTATTATTAGTCAACTCTATTTGTATGTTAGATCCAATCAAAGTATCTAGCTTCTTCATGTTGAAGACAAAACAATTCCTATACGCACGTAGGAATTGTGTCAATCGTCGTCTCTCTCAACCTGTGATTTGGATTCTAATCAATGGTTTCCAATTTTTCTTTGTAGACACACTAGAGCGAACAATACTCTCACTAGTTGCTATGCCACATTCTCCAAAAAACCTGTACAACTCTCTGTACCGTCCTTTGGATCAATTTTTCACGTGAAGATCTTCTCCAACTACATGGGTTGTCATATGCACATGCTCATTGATCACGACACTCCCAAGTACTCCAAGGATGTGTAATATCACTTGCCTCGTCCCCAGCCAATGACACCTTGGTAGATAGTGCGTTCACAAAAGAGGTACTCACAACATCCGTCGCTTGAAGCCGACGCGTGTCAGCCATACTAAG